AAAGAATCAGAAGGGAGTATTCACCACCTCTTGACTGAATTATTCTTCAAAAGATACAACACCATCCAGATCGAAAATACCAAAGTAAACAATTCATGTGAAGAATTCATCCTCAATTCCAACAATCTAGTAAGATCCTAACCATAAACAATGATCAAAGAGCACGGCCAACAAATAAAAATGGACAGGATGATCAATGGTACTAATTATTCAGACAATTAAAAGCTGTCTGAATATAGAACATATGAGATTCATGTATTCAACAACCAAAAATATATATTTAGATTATTTGCAAGCACAGCAACCCAAGAATCAGCACTTGAAAGGAAATATACCGCATACCTCCGGCTGTTCTTAGTTGCCTCGGTACTCAGCAGTAGTCCCAGTGCATAGCAACCAAGTAAAAATTCCCAAACTTCTGGCCGTATAGATGGATCCACACCCTACAATGCAGTATAATATGCACAACAGTAATAAAAATTGGAGCATCCTGACACATGTCACCTTTAAATAAAATAAATAAAAAGAAAGAAGAAAGCAGAAAGTTTTCGAAGGAATTTGATCAACAAATATCATTTTCAAAATGCAAACTAAATTATTCATCAAATATCTAAACATACAACATGGAATGACTAAAATTTGAAAAATAAACATTAAACAGTATAAAAACTTACACATAAAAAGAATTAAGAAGGATTATATATCCAAAAATATCAAATTTCATTGGCTAGTTCAAAATTCAAGATTGAAAATATAACCATCCTATTGTTGACCCGAATGAGAATGCAAAAACCTGCAGCAAGGCCCTGTTAGGATTCAATATGAGCTGTCAAACATCTCTTTCAAAATGTTTGACCGCTAGAAGAGAATATCTAAAACCACACTGGTCACCAAACATATAAAACCTATAAACCATGGAGCTGAAGTAAACAAGATGAGAATGTACCCTAAATCCTAGCTCAGTGAGAGCCATATGGATAGGGTGAGATTATATAATATATCTACAGAGAGAAAGGCCAAAGATTTTAAAAGTTCAAATGTAGAATGTTCAGACATGCTTGCTTCTCTTAAGTTACCAGATTAGGTGAAGAGATGAATTTCAAAGTAAGATGGCAAATGAATATGTAGGGCACAGGCGAACTAAAATGACACATAGCACACTTTCCAGCTTGGCCCCTATTTTTTTATTTCTTTGTCTACACTATACTTCTGCAAATGTTTGGAGAAAGAGACTAGCCTTAACCGTTAGAATTTCATATCATAATCATAAATCCCAATTGCTAAAGCATATTTACACTGACAAGAAAAAACCAGCTTACTTCATAAAAAGGAGGATATTGAAACAAATGCCATTAAAACAGAAAACATACAACTACAGAATTTAGAATACTATACAATGGTGAAACAACACACCCCCAAAACAATCAACTGAGTCTTCTGAAAACCTGAAACCTTGCCATCACTATCAAAAGTTGCCTGCCACTTTCCGGCTTCAGCATTAGATATTGCACCAATAACTATATCAGAAGTTATAATATGATTTCAGACACCATAAAAGCACAATAACAAGTATAATTACACCTAAAAAAATTGGAACAAAAAAGCATCTTTATCCAAATCAATTACCCAAACAGCTCATCAAGTTGCACCATTACCTCATCATCAAGTTTTACTTTTTCAGAAAATCATTGAAATCACTGATGTATGCTATCACCTAGAATCCCTCAACCTTTCTTATGTATAAACCAAGTCCAATAATGAGGGTTGCTGAAAATAACGATATATAACACTAAATCAATTGGTAACACACAATGAAGAGACATGACTTCCCAAAATATTAGCAGATAAAAACAGATATACAAAAGATGATAGGTATTCTTAGAAATACTATTCCAAACTCCATCCATAAATTATGACATGTAACATCATTTGGCTCCAAATAGTCCAACATACATGAAGCAGGACCCCAGTATGCCTTGATGGTCACAAAAACACCCTAAAAGGTTATTGCTATTAATTTCAATATTTTTGTAAGCAGCACCTTAATGTCTATCTTATCCTTCCTTCCGTATTGCTATCTATCTGTTGTTTTAATGTGAGACTATCCCCATAATGTGCAGGCAGCAGAAACTACATGTATTAATCAACAGATCGAAACACAAATGATCTTGCACATGGACAACTCTACAATACCTTAATTCTGCATCATCAGCATAATTGACAAAAAGACACTACTCACTGACTGATTTGATTTTGATAGCAGTTTTTAAGTATCAAAAATTCAGAAAGTGCCAGAAGAATTAAATCCAGTTCAGAAAACATCTTACAAAACAACCTTTATAGGCGATTGTGAAAGGCAAGGATCTCCAATATCGCGTACAATTGAAAACATTCTTTGCAAATTCATTGCCCGCACTTTTCCACAATCCCTAGCTCGCCCTTCTCCCTCCGCCACATACATCACAATCCCCACAAACCCCTCTGCCTCTCTCTCACTCTCAAACTTTCAAGCTCTACTATCATCACAAACTAAACCCGATTTTCAACACTGACAACTGCAAGAAACATTGAAAATACCATGCACAAACCACATTAACAAATTCATAAAAACATCACTTCATTCCAAAAACTCAAAACAAACAAAAAATAGATGCTTTTGCTTAGCAGTTAAAAATTTATCACTAACATAAAGACCCCATTAGCTTCCAAATTCATCAAAAAAATCTCATAAACCTCTCCTAAAATGAATAATTTATCCAAACTCACCTAAGAACAATCATTTAATTACAAATTTTTGAGTCAAAAAAAAAAAAAAAACACAACTTTGCTCTCAAAAAACAAAAATTATGACCCTAGCAGTAAAAAATATCATAACATAGAGAGTACAGACAATATAGCTTCCAGATTCATCAAAAAAAAAAAAAAAAAAAAAAAAAAACTTGTAAACTTCTCCTAAAATTATCCAAAATCTGAAGGTTAACATCTAAATATCTTAAACCCAAGCACATAAATGAAAATGTACTCCTACAATAATTTCAAAAAATTAAAACGAATAAAAAGCAACAAAATAATAAAATTACGATTCAGCAAAACAGTAGAAATTTGATTCTAGATTAAAAATCGCTCTCACTCTTGATAATCGAATCATGAAATAAAGAAAGAGATAATCAGAGAATTGAAAATGGCGAAAGGCGAGAGAATCGAAGGCGATTGGATCGTTTTAATCTAATCGTGCACGTAGAATAATACGAATACGAACACGAAATTAGATGAAAAAAATACGCGTAGAGAGAGAGAGAGAGAAATGCAGTACCTAATGAAGAAGAAGAAGAGAAATGAAATGAGATTGAGATGTGTTGTGTTGTCTTCAAAGGGAAGCACTTTCTTCCTCTCATTTACTCCAAAAGCCTGGCCGTTCTTCTCTTCCTTCTGTTAGTATTAAGGTTTTTCTTTTTTTTTTTTTATAAAAAAAACAATTCAGTTATAAAAAGGGAAAATATTTTTATATAAAAATTTTCCAATATTGTGTAAAGTAAAGAATAAAAGATAAAAAAATATTATTTGTACTTTTATATATTTTTAATTTTTTTAGTTAAAATATGGTTTTTTGTTTTTCTGTTTTATTTTAAAAAAAAACCGAGTATAAATGAACAAATATTAGTATATACTCATTTTCTTAAATAAATTTATTATTTTAATCTTTCGATTAAGGAAAATAACTTTCAAATCAACTCTAAGAATGATTTCAATTGATTACATTGTAATATTTATTTATTATTTTGGTAATTTTTCCTTACATTAAATTAAAATTCTATATTTGCTAAATTCATTGAAAGAGGACAAACATTCTACATTAAGTTATATATTCCAAATAATGTAGTATATAAAGGAAGTAAATGGAAATAATATTTATTTTCCTAACATTACTGCTTCATTGATTATAATTAATATACTTAATATTTATTTAATGTTTGATGTTAGACGAGACCATGTCTTCTGTCTTAAAAATATTGAAAATTGTTTATAAATTAATATATAAGATTTAATTGGATATATATATAATATTTTTCTAATTTATTAACAATGTGTGAGAACGGCAGTGAAAGCTTTGATTTTATTCACATCCATGTTAAGAAATTATTAAATACCTCCTACAAAGAGATGTTTATAGGAGGTTTTCAATAATCGAGTTATAATATTTAAAAATTATGAGCGTAATGAAATTATACAATTACTTAGTGATTTGTCAAGCAATTCGTTGTGAAAATTTTGTTAAACGATACTCTATATTATTATATGTTATCAGTAAATGGTTACCGTTTTGAGGTTCGATAAAGATTATAGTTTTGAAGGTATTTGTAAAACAAATCTAGAGATTTTTAATTATAAAAGAAAAAAAATTATTAAGATATCATTATATACTATATTCATTAAAAAAAATATTTAAATTTAATATTATCAGCCAAAACTTAGATGTACTCTAGTTTAGCATGCAAGATTTAAAGAACAAGTGGCAGGTGCGAGATCAAAGTGAACAAGACTATAAATTATTTTCAGTTCAAGAAATTTGGTTTTAGATGGATTTGTTGGTGTCAAAGCATATGGCATTCAGAATAATTTTACAGGATAACAGTTAACCTCAAAACTCTATCATAGACATTTATGCATGCACGTGTTCGAGAAGAAACAAGTCACATAAGAACAGTTGGTGAAATGATATCTTTTATCCTACAGAGTCTTTCCAATTGTTAACGGCAACTTTTGATCTATGCAATTTAGTTTTCCCATCATCATATATAAGACTTGTATTCTTTCAGATTCAGAGAAAATAATGCTGCTACTTAATACAAAACAACGGCCAGGAACCAACTCTACTTACAAATAATAGCAAACTGAATTTACTTGAAGATGCCACTATTGAACCACAGATTATAAATAATTCAAAATTTGACATTTAGTCACTATTTACAGGAATAGTGTAAGAGCCAAATATTATCATTTTGCGATTCCAATGTAACCCCCATAAACTAATACATAAAAGTTCAGCCTGTCAGAAATTCCAGATTAGCTCAGCAAAAACAGCTACCAAAATTGTGAATTTTATACAATTCATTTACAATAAACATTGTCATTGCATAGAGGAATGGAGGCAGAGTGAGACAGTAACTACCTTGTTGAAGATGTGAGATGAGATACTGATGTACAAACAACTGGCATGACCTTCATCCTGCAAAGCACTTCTCTGAACTCCTCCATTGTGAAAGATTTAAATAATAAATTCCATCATGCCACACTTAATCTTGGAATCCAAGTGTCAGACCACGAACTTCGAGTTCCATTACCATGACTTTGTCCCATAGAAAGCAGGAAACAGCATAGCCTATTCACCATTCCGCACTGCATGACTCTTGATCTTTATCAACTGATTCAAAGAAAACTTCAGTTTACATAATGCAACAATCAAAGAAAACTATGGCACATAATGGTGACTAAACATGGTAGTGCCTCAAAAATCCATGGAAAATAGATGTTATTTCCATGTTGCTTCAAATGCAATGACTATAACAAATGCAGTCATTGACAATAAAAACATGCTTCACTATTGTCTCATCATAAATAGGTTTACTATGATGTAAGGCGCCACCATTGGTAAAGTAATGGCACATGCTTCTAGGAAAAGAACAAGCTTGAAGTTTATGAAATATAAGCTCTAAAGTTCCCATTGTTTTAGTACTTTTGAGATCGATGAAATAATTGTACGAGCACCTTACCTTGTAAAAGTATTTTTTCCGAATTTTGATTGCTGTGCGTATACATCTTTTTATATGTATCTCAAGCAGCTTATCATTGAAAATCTGCAATGTGTCAATATTTTAACACAAAACAAACTTTAGAGAATTTCACGTACAGATCAGAATAAAGAAGCAGTTGAGTCACTAATTAAAAGGCAGAGCAAGATGTCTGCATTTTACAGCTTACAAATCACTTTCCTACTATATTACTCAACTTTAATTTTAATGAATAAATTAAATCTGGCTAGACAGTTTTTGACCATCAATCATAGAAAAAGGCCTTCATCTCTACAGAATGTTATTGGAGAAGAAGCTTCTTCTAGTATCAAGAAAGCTCCACTTAGCAAGCAAATCATAGAAGGCAACAATGTATCAAATCAGAAATAAACTTCTAAACAATGAGATGATACCCAACTGACAACTCTATTGGCCATGTACAACATAAATTTCCTACATTGTTAGCTAGCCCATGCCGTGATGTCTACAGATGGTTCCACCATTGACCCAGGAAACGTTCCTGCCTTAATTAGGGTCTTAAGGGTTCAGAGAAAGAGGGGAAGACTACATCTAATTCTGTTCTCCCTATCAAATAACAGAAACCCGTCATAGAATAACCAGAAATACTACAGGTGCTTTTCAACCATGAATTTTGGAATAATACATATAAAATCCTAATAAAATATTGTACATTTAAGATTAATAATGTTATGATAGCAATTTAATTATTCAAATCTTAGAAAAATCATGTTTTCTATCTCAAAAATAAAAAGTGACAGAAAGACAGAGAAAAGAAAATGTTAGATCCACAAAGGCCCTGCTAAAGCCTAATTTAGAGGTCCCTTAAGATGGATGATGTGGTGATTGAGGCATTAAAGCTTTAGTTTGATCCACCCACCTCATAAGTTCACTACACTACCCCTCCCCTTCTGACAATTCTCACTTATAATTATCAACTTGTTATGAACTCTTGCTGTTTTCCTTCATACATAACAACCAAACATTTCCCCTATTTAGTTTTTCTTTATAATTTTATTGTTTATTTTGCATGCAATACTGAGTGTTTGCATTAGAAGAAAATTGAACTACAATCAAGTACTTTATAGCTAGAAGGAAAAACACATGAATTGTCAGCAATGCACCTGCCTTTATCATGTCATCAATTGAACGTGTTTCTTTCACAATTTTGTTACGGTTCAATATAAGAATTGCTGCCACACAAAACACAGGCAATTCGTCATCTCCACTTCCAGTTGATGAGACTACAGTGCAGTTCTGCAAGTGATGATTTCTTGACCAGAGATTCCTTGTCAAGCCACAAAATGGATGACCTGATGCTGATTTCACTCCAACATTGTCAGGCATGGAACCCTCCACATTTCCATTTTTTTGTTCTAAGCCACCCTTTAAATCAGTACCGCCACCATTTTCTGTGCTTTCTTCTCTAATTTCTGCATCAGACTCCCTTGGTAACCGTATAATCAAGGCTTCCAGACAGTTCTCCTCCAAATTATTGATCAAAGACATGTCAAAATCAGCAGCCCACATCATCTGCATCAAGGATCATTATTCTAAGTGAAGCTGAGTTATTAAAAATAGAATAAAATACAATAAGTATGTACATCTCCAAGAAAACAAAGTTACAAAATTATCAAATGCATCCCAAAAAGTTGATATGTTCCCCAGAAGCTCGGCTATATATGTACTATTCATTCAGAAAAGGAGTCCACCTAGGTTATGAGCAAGTACAGAAAAGCTAGACAGACTTAAAACTGTAAGAGGTGATAAAAAAGTCAAACAAAAATATATTCCCTAACTAGACAAGGACTAAACTGTGAGCAAGTCTACATTAACTACTAAAAAGAATATGCAATAATAGTGGATTGATGGCCCTCCAAAAGGGATAACTTTCATAAGCTTCCCCAAACAATCTGGTCTTAGCAAAGGTATTTGCAATTAGCAACAGGAAATAATGACAGCAGGCAACTAATCAGTACCACTATTTTCCATGTTAAGATGAGACTAGCTCATCTATTAATGTATTGAGAAATACGACTCATACTAATCCTGGGAAATAATACTCCTAGTTTTGTGCATCATATTGGCATTATGATATAGATGACACCACAATTTTTTATAAACTAGTTCCCACATCTGATAATAGATAACTACTGAAAATATACTAACCTCCCACATACGAAGAGCATCATTAAAAGATAACTCCCGACGGAAGAGTACCAGTAACATTCGAAATGCAAAATGAAGGCTTTCAGCACCTATATTTGACAGATGTGAAAACATTTCCCTGTCTGTGAGTTCCAGAATATGCCACAATGCTTGCAACTGCTTCATAACTCCAGTTGGACCTTCCATTTGAAAATTTTCACGCTGCAGAGATGTGAAAAGTATATGTAACTAAAAGATCATATAATTGTCTATCTAAATATATTTAACAAGATTGGAATTACCGTTCTCCTAAGAAGCATCTCAAAGCACCAAAATGCATCAGCATTGTCCTCAAAGAGAACAACAAAAGGAGATAGCAAGTCACTCATACCTATAATCAGAATTTTAATCAGTACAAAATATAAATTTTTTAAGTGTAAAAATTAATCCTCCAAAGCTTGAATAAGAGAAATAGCAATCATGTGGCTCATGAGGATCAATTAAAGACCTCGGATAAAATTAAGGACTACAACCTTGACAATAACCAGTGGCAGGATCAACCCAAGCATAAACAGCAAGGATGTCAGACATCCTAGCTAAATTTCTTGTATCCTCATAGAATTCAAGATGACTATCTGTTCTTACCACATCAACGACTGAAAAAGAAAAAAAAATCTTGTGAGTTGTTGGCAAATTTGACATAAACAGAAGCCTTTACAAAAAAATATAATAGAAAAACCAAAACTAAGTAAACCAAAACTAAGTACCTATCCTATGCAAAGTCCAAAGCCATTCAGAAACCCTGTCTCCACTGACAGCCGCTCCTTGTAATGTGGTTGCATTCATCAATGGCGTGTCTGGAACATCTGATATTCTCAACTTGTTAACTATTTCTGTTTCAAAATCCAGATTTTTGGACCACAATTCTGGTTTATGGGAACCAGAACAAGCCATTTCAATTTCTGAATTCATGGGGTGTGAAATGTTGTTAGATGGTGAACCATTTGATTCCATGATTAATTCTGCATTATTACTAATTTGAAAACTGTGCATTCTGTCATCCTCAAATCTCAATTGTTGCGTAGATGGTTCATCTTCACACACACCATATTCTTCATCATTGTTTCCACTCGTCTCAAACAAATTTGTGACTGGTAAATGAGGAAAATCAAAATAACTTTCAGTTACAACTTGTGATCCATTACTTTCTCTTCCCGGATTAGGGGTGTTGCAATTGTTTGGATCAGATGTAGGTACAAAACAAGAAGAGTCATATGCTGCACTATCCAAGCTTTCCCAAACACTGACAAGCTCTGCCGAATCAGTAGAACTTTCCCTTTTGCATGCATATGATGTATCTGTACAATTATTACTCAAATCACAAAAATTCTCCAATTGGTTAGTATTATCAATAGAAGCTTGTCTACTTTCAACTTTATCTTCTTTTCTCCCGTCATCTTTGGATGATGTTCTCATGTCCATAACCTTGGACCCCACAACATAGGCAAGTGATCCAGTTCCAATGCTTGAATGCATTATTTGACATTGCTTAATCAACTCCTTGTAACGTTCCCTGAAAAACAAGTCTCAAAAAGATGTTCTTATGAACAATAAATGATCATCATGATCTCAAAGATTTGACATACATGCATACTTGTTTCGACAAAATAGATGCTTCATAAACTGTTCAGTAGTAGAAAACATACTATAAACATGAACACAGTGCAAACACAATTTAAAGTACAGAGTTTTATGATAGTTCCATCCAGGCAAAAGGGTTTAAATTATTTCAAGTAAATGAAGTATCACATTGTTGCAGTTCACGCATTAATAACTTTTTCAGTCACTCTCTCGTGCTTTATTTTACTGGGCAACCCAAAATCCAGTCATCAGTTACTAAACCAATTACAGCAGCATGGTAATGCAGGACAAAGTGGATTATAAAAATCAAAAGCTTTGCAGTTGATTAAACTCAACTAAATGATAAGGCTAACAAACAGAGCAGATGGCCAGCAAAAGAATCAGAAGCTGGAGTATTCACCACCTCTTGACTGAATTATTCTTCAAAAGATACAACACCATCCAGATCGAAAATACCAAAGATAAACAATTCATGTGAAGAATTCATCCTCAATTCCAACAATCTAGTAAGATCCTAACCATAAACAATTAGATCAAAGAAGCAGGCCAACAAATAAAAATGGACAGGATGATCAATGGTACTAATTATTCAGACAATTTAAAAGCTGTCTGAATATAGAAACATATGAGATTCATGTATTCAACTAACCAAAAATATATATTTAGATTTATTTGCAAGCACAGCAACCCAAGAATCAGCACTTGAAAGGAAATATACCGCATACCTCCTGGCTCTTCTTAGTTGCCTTCGGTACTCAGCAGTAGTCCCCAGTGCATAGCAACCAAGTAAAAATTCCCAAACTTCTGGCCGTATAGATGGATCCACACCCTACAATGCAGTATATAATATGCACAACAGTAATAAAAATTGGAGCATCCTGACAATGTCACCTTTAAATAAAATAAATAAAAAAGAAAGAAAGAAAGCAGAAAGTTTTCGAAGGAATTTGGATCAACAAATCATCATTTTCAAAATGCAAACTAAATATTATTCATCAAATATCTAAACATACAACATGGAATGACTAAAATTTGAAAAATAAAACATTAACACAGTATAAAAACTTACACATTAAAAAGAATTAAGAAGGATTATATATCCAAAAATAATCAAATTTCAATTGGCTAGTTCAAAATTCAAGATTGAAAATATAACCATCCTATATGTTGACCCAGAATTGAGAATGCAAAAACTGCAGCAAGGCCATGTTAGGATTCAATATGAGACTGTCAAACATCTCTTTCAAAATGTTTGACCGGTAGAAGAGAATATCTAAAACCACACTGGTCACAAACATATAAAACCTATCAAACCATGGAGCTGAAGTAAAACCAAGATGAGAATGTACCCTAAATCCTAGCTCAGTGAGAGCCATATGATGATAGGGTGAGATGTAGTACTAATATATCTACAGAGAGAAAGGCCAAAGATTTTAAAAGTTCAAATGTAGAATGTTCAGACATGCTTGCTTCTCTTAAGTTACCAGATTAGGTGACATGAGATTTGAATTTCAAAGTAAGATGGCAAATGAATAATGTAGGGCACAGGCGAACTAAAATGACACATAGCACACTTTCCAGCTTGGGCCCCTATTTTTTTATTTCTTTGTCTACACTAATACTTCCTGCAAATGTTTGGACAAAGAGACTAGCCTTAACCGTTAGAATTTCATATCATAATCATAAATCCCAATTGCTAAAGCATATTTACACTGACAAGAAAAAACCAGCTTAACTTCATAAAAAGGAGGATATTGAAACAAAATGCCATTAAAACATGAAAACATCAACTAACAGAATTTAGAATACATAACAATGGTGAAACAACACACCCCCAAAACAATCAACTTGAGTGCTTTCTGAAAACCTGAAACCTTGCCATCACTATCAAAAGTTGCCTGCCACTTTTCCGGCTTCAGCATTCTAGATATCTGCACCAATAACATATATCAGAAGTTATAATATGATTTCAGACACCAATAAAAGCACAATAACAAGTTATAATTACACCTAAAAAAATTGGAACAAAAAAGCATCTTTTAAACCAAATCAATTTACCCAAACAGCTCATACAAGTTGCACCATTACCTCAGTCATCAAGTTTTACTTTTTCAGAAAATCATTGAAATCACTGATGTATGCATATCACCTAGAAATCCTTCAACCTTTCTTATGTATAAACCAAGTCCAATAATGAGGGATTGCTGAAAATAACTGATATATAACACTAAATCAATTGGTAAACACACAATGAAGAGACATGACTTCCCAAAATTATTAGCAGATAAAACAAGATATACAATAAGATGATAGGTATTCTTAGAAATACTATTCCAAACTCCATCCATAAATCTTATGACATGTAAACATCATTTGGCTCCAAATAGTCCAACATACATGAAGCAGGACCCCAGTAATGCCTTGATGGTCACAAAAACACCCTAAAAGGTTATTGCTATTAATTTCAATATTTTTGTAAGCAGCACCTTAATGTCTATCTTATCCTTCCTTATTCCTGTATTGCTATCTATCTGTTGTTTTAACGTGAGACTATCCCACATAAAATGCAAGTGCAGCAGCAAACTACATGTATTAATCAACAAGATCGAAACACAAAATGATCTTGCACATGGACAACTCTACAATTACCTTAATTCTGCATCATCAGCATAATTGACAAAAAGACACTACTCACTGACTGATTTGATTTTGATAGCAGTATTTAAGTATCAAAAATTCAGAAAGTGCCAGAAGTAATTAAAATCCAGTTCAGAAAACATCTTACAAAACAACCTTTATAGGCGATTGTGAAAGGCAAGGATCTCCAATATCGCGTACAATTGAACCCATTCTTTGCAAATTCATTGCCCGCACTTTTCCACAATCCCATAGCTCGCCCTCTCTCCCTCCGCCACAATACATCACAATCCCCACAAACCCCTCTGCCTCTCTCTCACTCTCAAACTTTCAAGCTCTACTATCATCACAAACTAAACCCGATTTTCAACACTGAACAACTGCAAGAAACATTGAAAATACCATGCACAAACCACATTAACAAATTCATAAAAACAATCACTTCATTCCAAAAACCAAAACAAAACAAAAAAATAGATGCTTTTGCTTAGCAGTAAAAAATTTATCACTAACATAAAGACCCCATTAGCTTCCAAATTCATCAAAAAAATCTCATAAACCTCTCCTAAAATGAATAAATTTATCCAAACTCACCATAAGAACAATCATTTAATTACAAATTTATTGAGTCAAAAAACAAAAACACAAACTTTTGCCTCTAAAAAACAAAAATTATGACCCTAGCAGTAAAAAATTATCAATAACATAGAGAGTACAGACAATATTAGCTTCCAGATTCATCAAAAAAAAAAAAAAAAAAAAAAAAAAAAAAAAAACTTGTAAACTTCTCCTAAAATTAATCCAAAATCTGAAGGTTTAACATCTAAATATCTTAAACCACCAAGCACATAAATGAAAATGTACTCCTACAATAATTTCAAAAAATTAAAAACGAATAAAAAGCAACAACAAAATAATTAAATTACGATTCAGCAAAACAGTAGAAATTTGATTCTAGATTAAAATCGCTCTCACTCTTTGATAATCGAATCATTGAAATAAAGAAAGAGATAATCAGAGAATTGAAAATGGCGAAAGGCGAGGAGAATCGAAGAGCGATTGGATCGTTTTAATCTAATCGCATGCACGTAGAATATATACGAATACGAACACGAAATTAGATGAAAAAAATACGCGTAGAGAGAGAGAGAGAGAAATGCAGTACCTAATGAAGAAGAAGAAGAGAAATGAAATGAGATTGAGATGTGTTGTTGTTGTTCCTTCAAAGGGAAGCACTTTCTTCATCTTCATTTACTCCAAAAGCCTGGCCGTTTCTTCTCTCCTTCTGTTAGTATTAATGGTTTTTCTTTTTTTTTTTATAAAATAAAACCAAATTCAGTTTATTAAAAAGGGAAAATATTTTTATATAAAAATTTTCCAATATTGTGATAAAGTAAAGAATAAAAAGATTAAAAAATATTATTTTGTACTTTTATATATTTTTAATTTTTTTAGTTATAAATATGGTTTTTTGTTTTTCTTGTTTTTATTTTAAAAAAAAAAACCGAGTTATAAATGAACAAATATTAGTATATTACTCATTTTCTTAAATAAATTTATTATTTTAATCTTTCGATTAAGGAAAAATAACTTTCAAATCAACTCCTAAGAATGATTTCAATTGATTTACATTGTAATTATTTATTTATTTATTTTGGTAATTTTTCCTTACATTAAATTAAAAATTCTATATTTGCTAAATTCATTGAAAGAGGACAAACATTCTACATTAAGTTATATATTCCAAATATATGTAGTATATAAAGGAAAGTAAATGGAAATAATATTTATTTTCCTTAAACATTACATGCTTCATTGATTATTAATTAATATACTTAATATTTATTTAATGTTTGATGTTATGACGAGACCATGTCTTCTGTCTCTAAAAATATTGAAAAATTGTTTATAAATTAATATTATTAATGGTTTAGTTGGATAATATATAATAATATTTTTCTAATTTATTAACAACGTGTGAGAACGGCAATGAACGTTTGATTTTATTCACATCCATGTTTAAGAAATTATTAAATACCTCCTACAAAGAGATGTTTTATAGGAGATTTTCAATAATCTCAAGTTTATAATATTTTAAAAAATTATGAGCGTACATGAAATTATACAATTACTTAGATGATTTGTCAAGCAATTCGTTGTGAAAATTTTGTTAAACGATACTCTATATTATTATATGTTATCAGTAAATCGGTTACCGTTTTGAGGTTCGATAAAGATTATAGTTTTGAACGGGTATTTGTAAAACAAATCTAGAAGATTTTTAAATTATAAAAGAAAAAAATTATTAAGATATCATTATATACTATTATTCATTAAAAAAAATATTTAAATTTAATATTTATCAGCATGTTTGGTTCATTATTTTTATTCCTATTGTGGATCGGATTATTAAAATAATGTTTGGTTCATTTTTTTCAAAACTCTATCCCCAAAACATGATCCTGACACAAGTTTGAATTGTCTGCATCTTCACAGCTTTCTCAGGTTTTGACCGTTTCAATTTTTTTTTTTTATTCATTTTTCCTTCACTACTGAACCGTTTCTGCACTGCGTGAACCATTTTCTTCACCATTTTTCTTCATTTTTCGTGACTTGCTCACCAGTTTCTACGCTGCATCTGATTGAGAAAATTAAACAATTTTCTTCACTGCATTCTTCACCATTTTTCTTCACTTTTCGTCACTGCTTCATCTTTCTGCACTGCATCTGACTGGACGTGGACTTTTCTTCACTGCATTCTTCACCATTTCTTCACTGCATCTTCACAACCGTGAACCCACCTCACCTACTGCATCGCAACAGCCGTGAACCCACCCACTACTGCATCTTCACAACCGTGAACCCACCTCAGCTACTGCAGCTCCCCAGCCATCAACCCACCTCAACTACTGCATCTTCACAGCCATGAACCTACCTCAGCTCCCCAGCCACCGTCAACCCACCTTAGCTCCCCACCGTGAACCCACCTCAGCTCCCCACCCCCGTGAACCCAGATCTGTCACTTCTCTTCTCACGTTCGCAAATCGCAAGCTATGAAGCTGATTTCTTCTCAATTCCATGCCATTGTTCTCCTCTCATTCGGCTATTTTTATACAAAGTTCGTTGATTAATTTTCTTCACGAAAGTATTTTCCAGTTTTTTATTTATATTTCTTGACTTCGTGTGTAGAAATTGTTGTAATTGGTGGTATTGAACTTAATGGTCGTGAGTTTTGTGATAATAGAGTGATTAATGTGTGGTATGACGGTGCTGGTGGCGGATCAGTGGTAGTTTTGGTGGTTTGTGGTGTGAATAAATTTAAATATTAGGGTTCAAATTGGGGGTTTTAAAATTTAGTCCTTCTGTCGCAATGTTTACTTATAGGCATATTTTTTACAATTGAATTTTTTTTTTTTTTTTTGTTACTTTAATCGACTAATGTTGTTGGCAGATGATGGAAACAAATAATCATTAAATGGTGAATGGTTCAATGTTATGGGTTTGATTTAGATTGGGGTTTGGATTTGAGATTGGGGTTTGGTTTTGAAAATCAATGATGATTCTGAAGATTTGTTGTTCAGGTTTTGATTCGAAGAAGAATCAATCGAAGAAAGTGTGGTTGTACAAAGGAGTTGTAAACAATATAGGGTACCAACGGAACCGAACTAGTAGGTTCCTAAAAGCTTTGGTAAAGTAGTATTTTGCAAAGCTTTTTTTTGTTTTTATTCTATTCTACAGTTAATAAAGCTGAATTTTCGGACTTTGATTTTCGTAAGCTTGATGATAATTTTTGTTTTGTTTGGCAGGTTTTTAATATTTTAATTCGGATTTCACTAATTGATATATTTGTTCTATAGATTCGACATCGTGATTTAATCGTAACAAGAAATTACGCTCATATGCACAGATGTCAGTATAATTTGTCTCGACGTCGTAGGATTGATTACTACTTCTAGCAGAGGCGAAAGTTTCGACCTTTTTCCAAACTCGGAGTTCGTCATACACCCTGTTGGTCGACATTATCTTTATCTTCCCCTGCATTGACGTCTTCAAGCAGTGCCGGATCGAACGAGGTATAAGTTTATATGTGTTTAGTTGATTACATTAACATGTGAGTATTATATTTTGCAATGTGATTGGTGATTCATATGGTGTCCTAATGTTGGTTGTCCCTAACTGTACCGTCCTTAGATTAGTGAATCTGTGGCCTGGTCCGCTGAAATGACCCACCAATTTCTGGTCCTGTTATCTGAGCGGGCCAAAACTTCGTACGGTACTGCAATAAAAACAGCTGATTGCCAAGAAATGTTGGGCGACATATCATCACTAGCTGGCAGGAGACTCAATGTCACACAATTAACCTCTAAGTTCTTTCGGCTGCGAAAAGTGTATCAAGCATGGCGGAAATTGCTACAACACACGGGGTTTGGGTGGGATCACGAGTCACAAAGTTCAATGTGTCCCGTTGAGGTGTGGCAAGAATATGTCAAGGTATATTTTTATATTTTTTAACTAATATTATTCAACGACACCATAAATGTGCACATTTTTTTTGGACTGCTAAATATTAATATATTATTCTTTTAACTTACCAGCAAAACCCATTAGCGTAACAATTTTACCACAAGGGACTTCCTCACAAGGAGCTTTATGAAATAATATTTCAGAAGCAAATTGCCACTGGAAGATATGCATACACATCTACATCCCAACCGGTGGAGACCTCCAGTAATTCCAATCCCGACGCGGTTCCCATGGATGATAGTGAGTTTAAACCTGATCCTGATCGGACGATAGGGGAAAAACGGTCAAACACATCTGGCCATGGAAGAGCTAGAAATAGGAGGCACAGACGCAGCCCGAGATAATCAATTGCGGATGCCATTTTCAGCTTGAGGGATGAGCTTGCGGAGAAGCGAACTATGGCATCGAGGGCTACCAATCGCAGTGCAGATGAGAGGGAAGAAGAGAACACCAGTGCTTCATCTGATCCTTTTTCTATGAGCAATTGTATTGACATCATGACAGCCATGCAAGTACTGACACAGTTTTACCTGCCGGTTGTCACGTACTTATATGAAAATCCAGGGTGGCGGGAGATATTCGTAAAACTCCAACTGGAGGAAAAGGCTAACTGGATTTATAACAACTTTCCCAAGAAGTAGATTACACTATATTTCATAAGTGTTTGGCAACAATTTTGTATGCGTTAGTAGGCAGTTGTCATTACAATTACAATTTATAACGCTACTGTATGAACATATTTATGTGATATTATGTGTAACAACACCGTTTTCGATTGTCATTACAATTAAAAATTGACCATTATATTTGCTAAGTGTACACAACCTGTTAATTGTTGATAATGTTTTGCAAATGTGTAGGTACAAATGGCGTCGCTAGCCTACAGAAGAAGGCGACGTGCTACAGATGAGAGGACGAAGAAGAAATAATGACAGATGTAGCCATTGCACTTTGCGCTGCTGTCGCTTAGAAGCAAGTGGGCATCAACGCGACATACTCCGTATTAACTGGTCATCAGTACATGTTGGAAGTACTCACGGTTCATCTGACAGGATCTATGACAAGTGCCGCATGGAGAAAGACTGTTTTACATTGTTATGTGAAATTTTGTCTAATCAAGGCAAATTGCAACCAACCAGGACAACAAGTGTGGAAGAACAAGTTATGATATTTTTAACAATTGTTGGAAAAAACGAGACAATCAGAACAATGATGGAGGATTTCCAACATTCGGGTGAGACGATCCTAGACATGTTCACCACAGTTTGCAACGCTATATGTGATTTGAAGACAGAGTTTATCAGACCACCTGACTTCAATGATGTTCCATGGGAATATCGGCCAACAGAAATATTACCCTTTCTTTAAGGTACTGGTTCATTATGTTTGCTATAAGTAGATAGTTAAGTTCATTGTGTATTAATTTTTATAGTGTTAATAGAGTAAAATTCAATTTTCATTATAGGACTGTATTGGAGCCATGGATGGCACACATGTAATGCTTCAGTTCCACGTGAATTTGCCGATAGGTATCGGAATCGCAAAGGATCGATGTCACAGAATGTAATGATGTATGCGACTTTAAGATGATGTTCACTTATGTCATTACTGGATGGGAAGGATCTGCGCATGATTCAAGTGTTTTAAATTCAATTATTAATGATCCTAATTATGGATTCCCACATCCTCTACCAGGTATAAGTATTTTCTTGACATATTCTAGCGTATTACCTCCACTGTTGAGACTTTGTAATTCAAATAAAATGTCTGATATTATTATAGGGAAATACTATTTGGTTGATGCGGGTTATCCAAATAGAGATGGGTTCCTCGCCCCTCATAGGCGAGTGGCTACCATATTTCTGATTATCGCCATAACCGAAGGGGGCCACAGAGTTGTTTAACTACAGACATGCTTCACTCCGCAATGTTATCGAGAGAACCTTTGTGTTTTGAAAAAACGGTTCCGTATTCTATGGAAGAACAATTACCGTTGGACAACAAGGGAAGATTGTTATGGCATGTTGTGTACTTCATAATTTTATCAGAATGTACAATATGGACGACCGTATCTTCGAATAAACCAATAATAGTACGGGTAATGAGCAATATATTGTGGTCGTCAAAACGGGGCAGAATATGGGCGAAATGAGAAGGACCGAGTCAACCGCAATAGGTATTGTAGACAACATGACGATTGTCGGGATAACATAATTATGCACTGTGGGACACAGTGGACCATGTCGTAGTTGTTAATGGAGTATACGTGTAATAATGATTGAAGGGTTGATAGTTAGTACTTTTGTTATATATGTATTAATTTGATGTTTTTAAACAGTTGTATTAGCACTTGAAATTAATATGAGTTTTTGTTTTTTAATATCTACGGTGACAAATTACCAATAAAATATTGTATTATTAAAATATAATTTGATAAGTTATATATATATATACATTATTTCAAACAAAATATTATATAATAAATCATTATAAAAATATATTAATCAAATATTCAACACAATCAAGATCAAAATACTCAACCAAATACATATTCTATAAATCTTATTCTCGTAATTATAACCCTTCTAACTATCCAATCCTATCCCTAAAATCTTATCCAAAATAATGAATTAAACCACCACCTATTCATTAATTTTTCCCCTCCTTCAGAGCCCATGCACTCATAGGTCAAAATAAAAATGGTTATTGCTTTTCAATGGCCGCAAGTAATTATTTATTCTTTCAAAATCAAAGTTAAAGACTGTTAATTTATTATATTTAAATTCCAAATTCTTCAAGTCTAATCAAGTTTCACTTCTAGGGTTGTCTTTGAAAACTACATTGAAATGAATTTAATATACAAAAATTAAATCACAAGCTTTGTTTTTACGCCCAACTGTTCTTAGGTAAAAGATAATATAAATAATTTTTTAATTTAATTCTTTATTTTTATTTCGATAATCATTATTTTGGATTTTGTCCAATTTGAGGATTAAAAAATAAGAGAAAATTTACCCTAAAAATTAATGAGAAGTTTTGTCAAATAATCGTGTCATTGATAAGTAACTCACTAAAACATCAATCAAAGATATAATTTAAAATAAAAGTTTAAATATTATTTACAAAATAGGTTATATAATCCCTTGACGTATATAATAATACCAAAAATCCTTCTATAGTTATAAAAATAACAAAATCTCCTATCGTTAAGCTTTTACTATTAGAATAGAGACAATTGTAAATATTTACACATCATATAGTATAGTAGAGAGATTTAGGCTATTTGCTAAATCCCTAGGGGAAATATATTATTTAATTAAACCTCAGGGGTACCCCTTTAAAAAATGTTTTCCAAAATTATTAGGTGGATTTCCATTACTTTCTTTATTGATATCAGTTACGTCCCCTTTTGACATTCTTGATCTTTTATTGATATATTCTACTCGTTTTAACCTAAGTTTTTCAAAATTAAAATGTTTTAAATGAAATGAATGGTGTTTAATAAATTATCACCCAATATGTTACTAAATGTTTTATCATTTTCATTTAAAACTCGACGACTAACATAAACCAGTGTTACACATAATCGACAATGTATGACTATTGTAGACGATAAAATGTTGTTACACGCAACCAATATAAAGAATTGTTACATGCAATCGACAATATATGACTATGATACAAAAGATTTCGACTAACCCTATTTTACATAGGGTTGAAATTGCTATTAGAACAATGGTAATTACTTTGAATAGAAATCAAACAAATTTATAGAAATTGAAATGCTAATAATTTTCTATGGCTCAAATCTATATCTAGTATCTACCTATTAACATCCATGAGAACTTCCCTAATGACACTAGAGATTTAAACAACCCATGTCTCAAAGGAATTTTTATGTAACAAGTATTAACTGAATGATCGACATTGATAATAAAACAACTGTTAAAATGACATCTAAAACGGTTTCTTTTTTTTTTTCAGACACTAGTCTAGAGATTGCATATGTTTGGTATGCTGTATTGTACTGTATAAGAGCATCGTATAGTATTAAATATAAACATGGTATATATACGGAATAAGGTTTCTAAATTCTTATAGCCTTTCGATAAGCTGTATGAAAGCTATCTGCTATTCAATCCACTTCATCAACCGAGTATAGAAATTTTGATGCACCGGCTTTCTGAAACTTTTGCACCACTCAACTGGAGTCCAGAAAGTTGCAATGACCATAATTCAAAACATATGACAAAGAGTAATACTACACGTCCCAAAACTTATCTCAAAATTCACATCCCAAATGATGTGTCATCTTATTTGGCATTGCCATGTCACTCACTAAATCACCACTTTATTTAGATCTCAACACCACATAAGATTACAAATCATTTGGGATGGTAATTTTGGGATAACTTTGGGATGTATAGTATTATTGTAACAAAATAATTAGAAGAACTAAAATTCTTTGAATCCTCACTATTTCAGAATAAAAGTGGGACAAACTATACGATACCAGACTGGTGATAACAGTTGAATTGATTTGGTTTAAACTTTAAAGAGCATCCAGCTCAACTGGAATTNATGATTTTGGATTTTGTCCAATTTGAGGATTAAAAAATAAGAGAAAATTTGACCCTAATAAATTAATGAGAAGTTTTGTCAAATGATAGTGTCATTGATAAGTAACTCACTACAAATCAAATCAAAGATATAATTTAAAAATAAAAGTTTAAATATTATTTAAAAAATAGGTTATATAATCTCCTTAACGTATAATTAAATACCAAAAATCGTTCTATAGGTATAAAATAACAAAGGTGTTGTTTGTTTTATTATTTTGGATAAGATTTTGAGAATAATATTGAGTAGTTGAATAGGGGAGTTACGAGGTAAAATTTAAAAATTTACAAAAAAACCCCCTAGGTTTGCTAATTTAACTAAACATCTCAATATATAAAAATTTTGTAAAATGACATAAACATACCCACCCACCCACAGTACCAGATTCCGGCCACCATCGTCGAAATCTCGTCGAAAAATTTTGTTACGACGCAAACCGGTCGAATTTGGTGGGTAGGGCGCGATATGACCTCTTTCGGCCAGATCCACCACGGATCTAGCCATCAACGGCCGGAAAAGTCCAGATCTGACGGCCAAGATTTGGCCGTCGTTGACCGTCAACGACGGCTAGATCGGTGAATTACTAGCTATTTCCGGTTGTTTGTAGGCTGTGGTGACAGATTCCAACTATGACCGACAGTGGTTGTCGGAATCTGGCGTTAACTTTTAAACTTTTTTTTTCTGAGGGTATTTATGAAATTAATAAACTTAAAAGGTCTAAAAATAATTAAAAAAATATACTAATATTTCTCAAATAACAAAATAAACAATATTTTGGGAATAGGATTAGAAATATAGGTAAAAATAATGTGTTAAACGCACCCAAAAATTTCCCATCATTAAGTTTTTACCGTTAGAATAAAGACAATTAGGTAAATATTTACACATCATATAGTATAGTGGAGAGATTTACGCTATTTATGAAATCCTAGGGGAAATATATTATTTAATTAAACCTCAGGGGTACCCCTTTAAAAAATGTTTTCCAAAATTATTAGGTGGATTTCCATTGCTTTCTTTATTGATATCAGTTACGTCCCCTTTTGACATTCTTGATCTTTTATTGATATATTCTACTTAATTAACCTAAGTTTTTTCAAAATTAAAATGTTTTAAATGAAATGAATGGTGTTTAATAAATTATCACCCAATATGTTACTAAATGTTTTATCATTTTCATTTAAAACTCGACGACTAACATAAACCAGTGTTACACATAATCGACAATGTATGACTATTGTAGACGATAAAATGTTGTTACACGCAACCAATATAAAGAATTGTTACATGCAATCGACAATATATGACTATGATACAAAAGATTTCGACTAACCCTATTTTACATAGGGTTGAAATTGCTATTAGAACAATGGTAATTACTTTGAATAGAAATCAAACAAATTTATAGAAATTGAAATGCTAATAATTTTCTGTGGCTCAAATCTATATCTAGTATCTACCTATTAACATCCATGAGAACTTCCCTAATGACACTAAAGATTTAGATAACCCATGTCTCAAGGGAATTTTTACGCAACAAGTATTATCCGAATGATCAGACATTGATAATAAAACAACTGCTAAAATGACATCTAAAACGGTTTCTTTTTTTTTTTCAGACACCAATCTAGAGATTGCATATGTTTGGTATGCCGTATTGTACTGTATAAAAGCATCATATAGTATTAAATATAAACATGGTATATATACGGAATAAGGTTTCTAAATTCTTATAGCCTTTCGATAAGCTGTATGAAAGCTATCTGCTATTCAATCCACTTCATCAACCGAGTATAGAAATTTTGATGCACCAACTTTCTGAAACTTTTGCACCACTCAACTGGAGTCCAGAAAGTTGCAATGACCATAATTCAAAACATATGACAAAGAGTAATACTACACGTCCCAAAACTTATCTCAAAATTCACATCCCAAATGAAGTGTCATCTTATTTGGCATTGCCATGTCACTCACTAAATCACCACTTTATTTAGATCTCAACACCACATAAGATTACAAATCATTTGGGATGGTAATTTTGGGATAACTTTGGGATGTATAGTATTATTGTAACAAAATAATTAGAAGAACTAAAATACTTTGAATCCTCACTATTTCAGAATAAAAGTGGGACAAACTATACGATACCAGACTGGTGATAACAGTTGAATTGATTTGGTTTAAACTTTAAAGAGCATCCAGCTCAACTGGAATTTATTACTAGTACTAGTATAGTCCTAGTAATTTTACACTTAAAAGTCTCTCATATACACTAGTATACTTCGAGAAGTATTTCCTTAGCACAAATAATCGAACTTTTTTTCTGAAAGGAATACAATGAATCAAATGTTAGTTTCTATCATATATGTATGATAGATGCATGACCATCGACTGGAATACACTTTTAATTCTTATCAGCTCAAGAATGGGATACTACGACTAGTATTTAGTACAGCTATAAAAATTTATACCTTATCCAATGAGGGTATTTTCCGGATCAAATTCTGTATATCCAACATCAACAAGACAGAGACCATCAGGTGGTGCTGGTGGAGCAGTGGCACGTCTACATGTGGCATCCATCAGCTTCAGCAATGCATCTTCTTCTGCACCTGCAGCTGCTTCCCTTATCGAAGTGGCCACAAGCACCCGTACCATCTTGCGTAGGAAGCGATTTCCCACCAGCTCAACACACATAACTTTCCTTCCTTCCCCATGATCATGTACAGAACAAGGTAATCTGGCTTCTGCAGCTCGTGCGTGGTAGATGAAACACTCTGTTGGTGGACCTATGTTTCTTGAGGCTTTAGTGTCACGCGCAAACACCTTGTAGGATAATAACTTTCCTTCCAATTGCTGTAGGAGCAAATTAACACGTTTTACTTCAAACCTTCTTGGTTTCTTTCCAGTTTCAACAACTCCCTCATCATCAATAAGTTTGTTCTCAACATTTTCATCCTTTCCATTAGAAATTCTATTTGAATAAAAATTGTCAACTTCTACCTCACTGTCACTGGTTTCTTCCTTGTTTTCTCCATCATTGAGAGGAAAAATATACAAATACCGCCTCCATTTGGCAGAGAAATTAGGATGGAATGCACGTGACACCTCAGAAACAGAAACAACCCTGATTTTTCCTGGTGATGCAGAGTTGATTGCATCTACAATATCACGAGGTTTAACATCCTTTCTCCAAGTATAGAAAGAACACGCTTGTTGAAGAGCTGACACCCCTTTGTCCGTGCGGCCAGCAACACTAGCACATCCTTCCAATGGTTTACACTTCTCTTTCAGCAACTTCGCTTTCTTCTCATCAACAAAACTCCCAAGAGATGTTTCCACTAAACCTTGAACAGTGTTCAAACCAGGCTGCTTTTGCCAACCATCAAATGAACCTCCATGATACGAAACAAGTATTTTAAATGTTACTCTTGCCCATCTCCCAGACCGGACTTCAGTTCCATCACTCTCCACTTCAACCTCCAGAATTTCCTTATCATCATGACTAAAACATGCTCTCTCAGTTCCAAACAAGTCCGATAGCAACAAGCGGCCATTAACTATATCAGAATAGAAATCAACAACATGTTGCCAGGGCCTTGCATACATAAAATCGTAGCTTTCCCTGGCAGTCCACCTAGCGAACTTACAAGAGTCAGTATGGTTATAGTGAACATAAACCTTATTTTTTACGTGACTTTGGTTTTCCATCGAATACTTTCGAAACTGTTTACTGACAATCACAGCCGGAAACGATTTTATCATAACCCTTTTGTTGTTTTGCAATTGTAAACTCGCCAAATCTCTACCACTACAACATAGCTGCCAGCCACCGCCACAGAAGAAATCCTTACTTCGAGAAGCAAAATAGCCCAGAATGAATTCTTTTTCTATAAGTCTAACCACATCATGCTTAGTGGGTAGCAAAATGATAAATGCACACACACAAACTTAAAACGCCTACAAGAACAAGAAAAATAAACGCTATCAACGCACATAAAAGTTTTAAAAATATGCAAATTTGAAATTCAAAACAATTTAAATAAAACCAGGCCTATCATATGTTAAATTTCTAAACATTACACTCATGAACATCAACATCTTGAATCCTTTTTCAAGAAAAAACACATATATCACTTTAAATTACATAAACAAATATCCTAAGAAGCTTAAATACATTTAATCAAATAAAATAAAATATAAAGAACTCAAATAAGTTAAATATATTTATTTAATAAACATTCTAGGCCACTAACAAAGAAAATAAATCATATGCAAAAAGGGCTTATTGAAACTAAATTAAGAAAATAAAAAAAAATAAAAAACTTAAAACAAAAAAAAAAAAAAATACAATAATTCTATTAACTTTATATCTTAATTAATAAGTAGCACTTTAAATTTATTTATTTCAAAAATTAAAAAGTGATTTTTACTTATTTCAGCATACTTAATAGATATAAATCCCAGAGAAACTAAATCAAAAGTGAAAAATAAAAGAAGCGTGTCTGTTTTTTTGTAGAAATAAAAGCCTAATCCTTTGTTTGGAAGCCGAGAAACTTTGGAAAAGGAAAATTTATACGTGCTTATGTAAAATGCATACAGTTGGACAGAGCGAGGTACCTTTTAATCATGAATTGCCGGTGGTGTCGCCGCCGTAAGGGGTTACTGCGTAAGCACTTTGAGAGTTTTTTTGAAGTTCAAAAAGGAAAGGGTTTTTTTTGTACTGATTGTAAGTGGGGGAGAAGGAAACTCTGGTAGACCCCTGAATTTTAAAACGTTACATTTACATCTCAAAAACGGTGTGATGCTCAAAAGAACCGATTGGAATTAGAACCGGCGGGTATCCGAGGTTTGGTTCCTTTTCCTACCCGGAATGGGCCATCAACGAGTAGGTTCTAATATAAAATAAAAGTAAAGAGTAAGAGGGTTAATAAAAACTTTTGTAAAAAAATACTTGAATACATTTATATTTATATTTCATAGTATTTAAAGTAAGTTGGTTTAACTTTTGAGAATCTATTATTACAAAATAATAGAGTTTATAATTTTGAATTTATAATTTCTAATTTTTTTTTGTTAATAAGTGCTAGGTAGAGGGTATTTGTAAGTTTTTTAAGGGTTTTTTGCTATTTTAAAAACTTTTGGGGGATAATAAATTTTATAGAATACCCAAAATCATGTTACAAGTTCTGGTTCTAGGTACCTAGAAACCAGAATTGTCAGTTTCGGTTTCGGTTCTGGTTCTAATTCCTTCAAAAAATACAAAGTACGTGGAACCGAACACCCCTAGAAAAACGGTTCAATAATTGGAAGGCAAAAATGACAAACACCTACATTAGGTTTTGGGAAACTACAATTACCTTCCAAACGTTTTAATAACCAACAGAGAGGGAGAGACCTACACTTCCTTTAATAGAAATTATATATGTCATTCAATTACGAAACTACCCCTAACAAAATAAAGATTTTACCTGAAAATAAACACACAAACAACCAAACCATGATAGTTGTGATTTGATCATTTACAACTTATTTTTTTATTTAAGCATTTTAAAAAAGAATATTTATATGATTAATAAACAAATATAAAATAATTTTTTTCGATAAATAAATTATCGTCAATAATTAAATAATAATGAGTCTATCATTATGAAACATTTTACAATGCACTCTTTCTATTTAATCATATTCTAGAGTTAAATTATTAGTTTACCCTTCAATGTGTTAGATTTAACAGAGAAAATTGATGACATGGCAAAAATTTGGACCAAATTTAATTTCGCAAACCTCAAAGTTAATGGATTTTGTTTTACAAGTTTTTCTGATTTTCTTTTATCTTTTCTTCTCTAATTTTTTTTTTTTTTTTTCTATTCTCCTTCTCCTTTTTCTCCTTTTCATTGTTTCTTTCTTCCTAAGTACAACAGAGATCATGCAAGTTTAGAGAAATATTTTTCATTGATAGATTTCTTCGTTTGATGGTGCACGACATCCGTTTAAAGTACTTTGTTTAGAAACGTTTCCCGGCTTTTTAGCAACACGCCTAGACATGAACGTGATCATATCCGTTACCGTTCTCAAATATAACGTTGACAATACCAACATCATTCAACTCGACATCACGCTATCTGACGAAGAGGGCAATGTGAGTGGTACATGGTAGTTTGATTTCAAAGACTCTTACATGGAAAAATCCATTCAACTACTTAAGAAACATGGACTTGATTTCAACAAAATTAAGAACGATGGTATTCCCATGCACATATTTATGCCTACATTTCTAACAGTTTTGTCAAAGTATAAACATAGTCTCTTCAAATGGATTACTTTTCATGGTTTATACGATTTTGCTTACCTGATTAAACTAGTAACTAATAACTGATTAACAGTCCTTTGCCAAGAACATGTAAAGCTTTTGCGGAGATGGTTGCTGCCTATTTTTCAAAGGGTTTTGGACATTAAAGTTGCGGTGAAACACTGTAAAGAACTACTAGAGGGAGAGGTATGGTTATCTAAACTTGAGAAGATATTAGAAATTAAGAGAATAGGCGAGAGATTCACTATGCAGATGCAAGAACGACGAAGCGTTATGAGCTTAAAGAAGTTTTGGATGGATATTTTCATGGAATATCAAGAAGGTTCAAAAGGACGCCAACTAAAATTACTCCAGTAATAAATTGATAGTAGTTTTACTTGATAAATTTTGGTTTTATTGTTTTTCTGATTAATTTTTTCTTGTTAAATTGATGTTAAACTTTTTATTTGTTCTCAAATTGCTTCACATCTATGCATATTAAATCACAAATTCTCACTAATTAAATTGCAATATCACCAAGCAGATCCAGCCTTGAAAATCTCTGCTCATTCACGGCTATTGAGCAAACCCATCTGCTACGAGTGGCGGAACAAATCTGCAATCTTGAAGAGTCTGCTCAAATATATGACCCACTTTCAGCAGTTTTTCCTGTATACATTAAGAGAGAATCGTCTCATCAGTTTGATAATCCTTCGACAACCCTTGCCGGTAAGTACTAACTCATAAATAATACTACAAATAAACTTCATTTACAAACTTTTGCATACAAATTGGTATGATACAAAATGAATATAAAACGTTTTGTAACAACACCTATCAGATATTGTTCACTTTAGACACAATCATCACGGGCTTTTCAACCCACAACGAGTCTAACAAGTTAAGGAACACCCTAGATTATATACATTTGCTCTAGCTTCCCACCTAATTATGTGGGCACTCTTGCTTATGGTTTGCTCCCATACACCTGGTGCCCACAAGCAGCCCTGACTAGGCACGCTTTCTGACAAACCTAACTATATAAAATAGTAATCAATTTGCAAATAAGAGTTTTTTATACATAATTTGTATGTGTAGCATTACTTATTTATGAGAAAATAACACTGTAATTAGCAAAAGGTTATGCAGAGCTACACAAATAGTTGGGTTAAATTTTTTTGCTGACAGATAAAATGTGCAACTTTTATCAAGGTATCAATGTACTAATGCTTATTTATTGATATACTAATGATTTGATTATACTTTGGCGTCTTAAGCCTCACAACAGGAAATTAGAAACCAAGAAAGTTTGCAAAAAATATTCTGAACAAAGGCAAAAGGTGGCTGAAAAATCAAGTGATTGTAGATAACAGAAGTTGCAATTCTCAGAGGACTCCTCTTATCAAATTAAAATAACGAATTGTAATGAATATGGGTAGTCTGTACCTCATCAAATGCTGCACCAATCATTTGGAGACCAATAGGAAGGCCCGCAGGTCCGCCTTCTACAAACCCACATGGCAAAACCAATGCAGGTAACCCTGCCAAGTTTACGTTTACCTGTACCGAGTATAAAATCCCGAATGAGGAAAACAAAAATGAAGCCAGGTAATATTTGGAGTTCTGTCCTGACGCTAACTAACTAATAGAACTTAAAAAATGTAAAAACAAAGAGAAGAAAAAAGAAAAAGAAAATCACACATGCTAGTTGTCATTAAAAAAAATTTTAAATCTTACAACTCATTAAATAAGATGTGATTTTCAGGAGGGATCATTCAGAAAAATTAAGAAGCTTTCCTCCAAAATGAATCCATAGTTTCAGCAATGACTGTAGGAAATTAAAATCTGGATAGCAATCTATTATAAATATTCATAGTGGTAGCCAAGAGGACGTAAATATGGCAGATCATAGAGCAACAAAAAGATTCTTACAGTCATAATATCCCCTGCATACATTGCCAGCGGATCATTCTTTTTCTCACCTGTAAATATCACAAGTAATTAGGAAACTTCAGTCTAAAATAAAAATCAAACATTTTAAGTGAAAGAAAAAAGGAAGGGGGGAAGAAAAGAGACAAGTGAATACCAATCTTATAAGCAGCGGATGGAGCTGCAGGTGAAATTAGAATGTCGTTTTCATCCAAAGCTGCCTTAAAGCTTTTCTGTATTAAGGTCCTCACCTAAAACACTATTACAATCATAATTTTTTTCTTGAACAGCAAAATAAAGTTTTTCACGAGTCTCAGAAAACATAACAACCAGATAATGAATAACTAAAATCAATGTTCTACATCCCAAAACAATCATTCAATCGTGGTCGAGCAGATATAATTTACACAGGCAGAAGGACTGTAACAATGAAAAGATTTGGGAGAACATCAGCCAACTCGTAATTCCTAGGATTTCTACACGCTTGTCAATTGAAATAATAGAGAGAAACAAATTTTTGGTTCTCCATAGCAAATATCATGGAACTGGAACTTCTCTTGAACACACATGAAGGATGATTGTAGTACCTGTTGGGCACGCTTGTAATATGCATCATAGTATCCGGCTGAAAGGGCGTAAGTTCCCATCAATATTCTCATTTTAACCTGCAAAAGTTTTATGCACATTTTGATTTAACACTCCTTATTGGTACAAATCTAAGTTACACTTTTCCTTTGGGCTACTTAGCAGCTAGCTCTCTCTACACAACTACGAGAACTTAAACCAGTGACAAGTAGCCCTGGGCAGTAAAAAAAAAAAATCAATAAATTTGAATAAATACGGGGAAAAAGGATCTTATATCCACTTGAGATATACATACCTCAGAGCCGAATCCTTTTGCACGGGAATCTTCATATAGTGCATTCAGCTCATCAGCAACAACTTGGTTCCCATATCTGGATATTGACGTAAAAATAAAGGCAAGAACTCAGAATTATTTTGTAACACTGGATTATTATATAAGAGAGTTGGAAACATTCTTTCTCATTTCCTTCGGTAAAATAGACAACAACAGCAGACACTATAGTTGATTTCAAGTTTTTTGTAATCCATCTCTCAACTAAAACCCAATTCTTAATAAATGCTTGCTTTTGGACTTCAAAATTGCCACCAAAATTTTTTCTTCTCCATTCCATTGATTTACAAATGGAAGTAAAATTAATAGACATATGTGCAAACAAATTGGTTTAATAATTTACCAACAATGCCTGAAACAAAATCAAAAGAATGATTATTGCTAAGATGTATTCTTCAGTAAATTACCTGACACCATCATAACGTGAAAGGTTGGAAGAAGATTCAGATGAAGCCAGAATATAATAGGCTGGTAAACCGAGTGAAAAGGATGGCAATGATACCTAAAATGTCAGTGAAAATAAAAATTATAAAATTATTTGCATAAACTTCAACATAAACAAGTATGAGAAAATATCAAAGGCACCTCTGACAAAGTACATCCTAATTCTTCCAGATGGGAAACAGCACCAAGAATTGCAGATTTTACTCCAGTATCAACACCGTTATCAAGAGTTTCACGAATTATACCAACCCTCAGCCCTTTCAATGGTTTGGATTCCAAAAGAGTGGCAGAAACAAATTGACTTGTGAAATCAGGCACTTCCTGAAAAGTGATATCATCACAAAATTAAAATATAACACTGGAGAAAAAAGTCCTAACATGAAATTAATACAGAAAGTACAAAGCTCAGTAGCACCACTAGAAGCTCACAGTGCTAGAACCTAATCTCAAAACGTTGCGTTTTTAACAAGTCAGAACGGTCAGATGGTCCATGACATGACAAAATAATGCTGGTAATAATGCTCAACAGCAAATATGGTGACTCTCCAACTGACATAAGCATATTAATCTATACAAAGATGAACACAAAATGGGAATGGATCTTGTTTCTGTCCCTCAGCATATACAGTTTTCTCTTACCACATTGGTGTAAACACGCAAATTTCCTAAATCATTTTTCGGGGAAAAAAACTAGTAAATTATAAAATTAGATAATAGTTTGCTCCAGGGAGAAGCACTGACGAGTATTTATTGAAACATTTAGATATATCTGTATACCCGTAGACATAATCAAATGAAAGAATGATGATGAAGAAACAAGGAGAAGTTAGGGACACATACTTGCTTGCTACTTGTGGCATCAAGTCTATCATGACCAGAAACTGCATTTAGAAGAATTCCAGCATCAGCAACAGATGAACCAAAGCAACCAATGACATCAAGTGATGATGCATATGCCATAAGTCCAAATCTTGAGACACGGCCATATGTTGGCTTCAATCCAACAACACCACAAAACGAAGCTGGCTGTCTTACACTTCCACCGGTGTCACTTCCCAGAGATACTACACACTGCCTAGCAGAAACGGCTGCTGCAGAGCCTCCTGATGATCCTCCTGGAACCCGAGAAACATCCCAAGGATTTGCTGTCACCTAACGAACGAATGAACAGATTGCATCACCTGAGTAAACTAACTCCAGTTACCAGTTGTAAATATCATAATCATCTTTCACAGAAAGGCTTTCTCAGTGAGGCTGCTTTTGCATTTGTGTATTAGGAGGAATGAATTTGGAAAGTTTTCAGTTTTGAACTACTTGAACCAGGCTTAAGAATAGTAGTCTATCTATTGTTAATGGTAGAAGTTCCATTATCTACAAAATTCAAACACCCTAATGTGAAACTTTCTCACCACTTTGACAGGAGCAATAAACCCTAAACCCTAAACATTAATCATCCAGGATTTTCAAGCAGTCTTAACAAAAAGAAGGCGAGCTGCAAGCTCGGTTTGTCGAGAGGTGGTCTTGCTCGGATACCAATTGTAACAACCACAACTTTGTAGAACTCACCCTCAAAACCGGTTTGTAAAGGGAGGGTGCCCACATGATTATTACCCACATGTCAAGCCCATTCTTTGGCGATACGAGACTTAATTAGGATCGTTACACACAACAGGATATCATTAAAAACAGAGCCTTTAACAAGTCTAGTTGCTATAATTAATAATTAAAAAGAAGAAATGATATAAGACCTGAAAAGCAGAAGCTTCAGTGGTGCTGCCCATCCCAAACTCATCCAAATTGGTCTTACCCACAACAATCCCACCCAATTCCTTCACTCTTTTCACTGCAGTGGCATCGAACGGCGGACAATAATTCTCCAAAACCTTAGACCCAGCGGTGGAGGGCATATCCACCGTACATATATTATCTTTGACTCCTACAAGAACCCCAGCGAGGGGTCCCACATCTTCATTTCTCTGAATCTTTTCATCAATGGCTTGTGCTTCTTTCAAGACATTGTTGGAGAGGTGAAGAAAGGAGTTGAGCTGAGGCTCAGTGAGTTTAAGACGAGTTAAGTAGGATTCGGCCAGCTGAGTGGCGGTAACGTGGCGAGAGAGGAGGGAATGACGAATGGAGAGAATTTGGGATTGGGGTGGTGACGTTGAGGACGCATGGGGTTGTTCGATGATGGGGTGTGAGGAAGAGAGAATGGGTTTTGTGTGGAAAGAGCGAGTTTTACTTTTGGAAGGTAAGAAACGAGAGAGAGAGCGAGGAGGGTGATGGAGTGTTGATAGCATTTTGGAGTGAGAAATGAGTGAAGCCTCAATGGGGCTTGTCCTTTACTTCAAAATTTGATTCGGGTATTAGAATTTGGCTATTATCTTGGACCAAAGGTTAAATAAAAATTAGTAGCATTTGATACATAAAAAATGGTGAAAAATATTTACTTAAATTACTAACTTAAAATAAGGGAACTCAAATTTCTCGCTATCCCTTTCGTTGCGAAGGTCACAGTTAATTGGTGATGATAATAAGCTTCTCTATCAGTAACGAGGATGCTGATGAGGATCCTATATATTAATACCAGCTTCCTTGATAGCATTGCCATGGAATTTGATAAGGGATTTGCTAACATATTTGTCGGTTGGGGCCTCACTCCACCCCCTGTCGACAAGCAACCATCTCATCTTCCGGCTCTTGTTGAACTTAGTTGTCCTATGAATGACCTCTCGCTCAAGAGTTCCCGCTGTCAGGTTCTTTTATGTACCTGTCAATCTGGGAATCCTTCGACAAATTGGAGTCAGCACAGCAGCACCTTGTGGCGTTGAATTAGCAGTTTCATGAGTAGGTGGAGCACCCACATTGACTGATTACATGAGCTTGGCAAAAGGAGTTTTATCCGTTTTGGAATCGACAAGAAGTTCATTTAACTCCTCAGACAATCATTCATTACTTGTTTATGAGTATATTTCCTTGAATTTGGCAATTTGCATCACTCTTTCGTTAATCCTTATTCACTTATTTAATATTTCATGATTATATCCTCTTTCTAAATTCTAAGTTTTTGAGTTATTGTAAAATCAATATGTTGATGACTCTGTACAGCTGTTAAGTCCACTTATGTGGCCATGAAATATATCTGATACGGCGGACATCCTGAATTTAAAATTTTTTTTGCCCCATTAATTTTATATTCAAGTGGCAATCCATGGTTAAGGAATTTGAATCTCAGCTTATACGACTTATTATCTGTGACACAGAATTTTTGGACAGTATGGACATCCATTTTCACTCACATATCTCGGGGTGTTTCTTTACGGTTATATATTTGTCCATAGCACTTATGAAAGATTGCCTATGCAGCTTAGTGGATGCTACCGTATTTAAGAATTTTTCCTGTTATACATCTATGACAACCACTGTAGGGCCGTTTGGATTGGGGATAAATAAGATAACGGAGGTAATCTTTGTTTATTTTATAAAATTCATGTATTTGGTTTGCAAGTAATAAAATATTACGGTAATATTTTATTACAAATAATGTTTACTGTTGGTAATGTAAGGGGTAATTTTATTACCTTGCTAGGTGGTGTTATTAAAACATTAACGAGGTAATCTGATTTTTCTACCTATTTTGCCCTTAATTAAAAACTATTTCGGATACGGTTGCTCTTAAATGTCTACCAAATAACAAATACTCATCCCCTCTATATTTGAGAAATTAGATAAAACACCTCAACCATAAAAAAGTTTAAAAGTTAACAAAATACCCTCAGCCACGCAAGACCATCGTTAGCCGTGACTCACCACTGCCAGCCACAAGCGTCAATCACCGTAATGGTGTACGACCAGCAAGATCTAACAGGTCGTGCGCCGGTAAGGCCTTTTCCAGCCATGGATCACAAATCCATAGCTGGAAACGACCAGATCTGGTGTTTCCATGGCCTACGGCCAAAGATGTGACTGTGAAATGGCCATAGATCTAACCGTTTTTCGGCCATAAATTTGTGATCCATGGCCATTTTCGGCTTTACCAGCACATGGCCAGTCGTGCGCCATTCCATCGACTACCGGCAGTGGTTGGTTGTCGGCAATAGCTTGGGGTGGATGGGGGTGATTTTGCTATAAATTAAAGTTTTATATGACTGAGGTGTTTTAGCAAAATTTCAAATGTAGGGGGTTAAAAAAACAATTCAAAAAATAATAATAAAAAAATACTTTTATATTAATATTTAAAAATGAGGGCAATTTAGTAATCTATATAACATACCTAGCCATTTATCCTTCTAACCAAACATATTATTCACCAATTTATTCTAACCAACCAAACATATTTTCTGAACATTCCTAGTAATATTCAAGGTGATCTTTTTTTTCGTTAATATAATATACCCCTGTAATAAAATATTATATGATTCAAACACCCTCTACTTGTAATGGAGTTGATATTCCTCTTTCAGTCACTGCGTTGCAGGATGGTTAAAAAAATTGATCTGCAAGGGAGGGTAATTAGTGCCCAAATTTGTTACGGAAAGGGAAGAGGGGTAGCCTGTGCTCCCAAAGAATTGAGGAAGATGAGTATGTTGAAACCACAGCCAAACACACGCAATAAAATAAAACAGAAAAGTAAATAGGACACTTGATTTATCATGGTTCGTTCCGATTAAAGAACTATGTTTAACATTCAAATAGATATTTTGTATTAAGTTTTAAAACTCTATAGCAAGTACAATCTTAATGACGGCAGCTCACTCTCTCTATTTTTTCGTAAACCCTTGGACTCTTACTATTACATCATATAATAAAAAACCTTACCCCATTTGAGCTTACCTAAATCTAACCTGACTCAGGCCCAAATATTAGTAAAACAATAACAAGTCCAAATACTGATAGGGGCCTTTAAGCCTATGCAAATTATGAACCATATCCAACAAAGTCAGCCTTGTTTGAACGTAGCAATGATCTATTTTCATGGGAAATTGTCTTTTGTAGTTCATATCATATTCCAGTATCGTTTTTAACAGAGGTAAGAAGATAATCTTCATATCATTTCTTTCGTCACAAATTTGGTTGTATTGAAGTTTATCTAGGCAAACATACGGCAGTGTTGAATGTAGTACATGGGTTCACTGTTCACAAGTAGTTCATATAACAAATGTGTAGCACCACACTGTGTTGCGGTGATATGTACATTTTCATTTACTGCAGTTTTTTATATTGTGCCCCAATCTTCTGCTTGATAGTTAACTTGTCTATTTAACGCAGTACTGCTCACAAAATCTGTTGTGTCAGTAGCTTTTCCACTTCAGGAAGTCAATTAGAGTATCTTCTGCCTGAAAAAAATTTGAAGCTCAAGTGGTTGGGTGGATGAAAAGTTATAATGATGGCCAATGGGCAGAAGGAAGTGTGAGAGTACCTGAGGTTCGGTGAGGATCCAAATAGGAAACAATAGGAGATTTTGAGAATATAAACAGAATATGATTTTATTCGGAATTTTATTGTTGCTGGTGTAATTTAAGCTGCAAAATGTGTAATGCAAATGATCTTATCAGTTTTTTGTTATCGTATATATGAATCTTAATCTGGAGAAAAAAGCCAAATGTATTATTACAAACAATATTTTTTTCATTTATTAATTGTAGTGATAAGATTTAATTTTGAAAATTTCTCTGACTCTTTCATTACAGATAACCAAACCTATTGTATGAAAAGTATAAAATCAAACTGTCGAACAACCTTCAACCGCCTTCCATGCATCCCAGTAAGGCAGTAACCCTTCACTTAACAATTTGCAAAAACTGTGAATAACTTATTCAAGAATTACTTACCTTCACTAAAGAAGTCTTCAAACTTCAATTAGCCTCAATACACACTTAAATGATTGGGGCACTAACTTTGGACTTCTTCCCTCTGTGTTTGAATACAAAAGCCCTCCCCGACGTTGGTTTCCCTCTAATGGCAAGCAATCGATAAAATATACATCTAGTGTCCACGTGGGAACCTAAACCCAACACCATTTCAGTAACAAACACATCAAAAAAATCCAAGGGTTTATATGCCCTCAAACAACATAACATACACATAATTACTAGACAAAAATAATTACGATCCTGTCAACTTTATTGTTTTAGCCTAAATTTAGGGGCAAACGGTGGGCTCTAGACATTATATTCTTCCAGTATGCACAAGACATAGGGCCTCCTAAGTGACTCCGGCAACCCCATGAAAACATCAATTTTGTGCTGATCCTTGCACATTGCCTCCAAAACATCTATCCTCCACACTGGGGTTAAAAAGTCCTATGTTTTCAATCACCGCAAACAAACGCTGACTTCTATCCTCCGTTTCATAAAAAAATGCTACAATATTTTCTATTCCCTGGGAAGCAACCTCATACGTATCCCTCCACTTTCATATTTGGTCCACCATTTCAGAGGTGCCCTCCTCACTTCTTTTCCTCTTCTTGCTACTGGAAGTCCTTCGAGTTCCACCAGCTCTTGAGCCAGCCACATCTTCCTTGCCTGGAACATTAATTCCACTATCAACATCCATTGTTTCGTTGTTGGAATCAAGATCTTCAACGGCATCAGCTGGGGTCTACACTCCAGCTCCCCCTGCCCGGTCCTTACCGAATACTATGACTAATGTGTCACAGCGAGGGAAAGATTTGTTCCTTAAACCTTTTGCATTTGGATGGCTATGAAAAAAAAAAAAAAAAGACAGATGAAACTTTAGAAATAATATACTAATGATATTTACCGATGCATTGAAGATAGAAACAACCTTACACTTACCCACTCCTCAAAGACATCATCGGTCCATCATCTTCTCTAGTTGGCCACGATATACCCAACTTTGAATGCACCGTTGTCAGCTTCCAATCTGGGTTTTTCTTTAAAGCAAGTAGAGAATCAGCTAAAATTTCCTCTTCCTTTGTCCACTGTCTTCTAGAACCACTTCTTGTGGCTCTAGCCTTCCCTTTCTGTCGCATGCTTGGGTCATACAACGTAAAGGCAGATCCTGACTTCCGGGTGCATTTGCTGAGTTATCCATTATGGAATGAACTTTTAAGGAAAAGAAATGAAACATTTATTTGCCAAATAATTAAAACTTAAATGATACTACCTCTTACTAAATAATAAAAGTCAAGAATATATTTAGGGATTGTTTGTTGAAGCTCATGAAAATAGCTAATTTGAACATATAAGCATTTGAAATTTAAGTAGTTACGTGTTTGGTTAAAATATTTATAAGTAATTGATAAATAATTGACGTGTTTGATAAAACGTGGCTTATAAGTATATTTAATTATTAAAATGATTAAAAATGGTATTATAATAACATGACTTGTTTGAAATATAAAAATAAGAGTATATTATAGAATTTTAAAATTAAATAAGGATAATGTAGTAATATACTTGTCCAAATTAACTTATAAGCAGAGTACGGATAAGCAAAAAAAAAAAAAAAAAAAAAAAAAGTGTCTTCCCCCCAACCTATTATTTTTTACTTATAAACCTAGTTTATAAGCCCGAAAAGTTATAAACAATCAAGTCAACTTAATTTTAAAATTATAAATTAGTCTGATCAGCTTATAAATTTAGACAAACACCCCCTTATACAATAGAAGATTCAGAAGTGAAAAACATATAATCTAAGACAAATAATTTGCATTCAAACAATAGTTTAATTTGACAAACAAATTTTAGAAATGATATTGCGGATGCTCAGATGGAGAATCGAACTGAGACTGTGTACCTATCCATACTATTCTCAAACCCAATTCGTTCTAACCATCTAGACTATCCACAGTCCAGAGATGGGTCATATCAAAATATTGAAGTTAGAAAAAAAAAAAATATTTTGATACATTATTTTAAGCGGTCAAAACATAAAAGTGAAATTACAACAAATTTTTTAATATTTTACTATAAAAACTAGATAAATATTTGAATATTTTATTAGTAGAAATTTTATTATAGTTTAATTTGGAAGTATTGTTATTTGTGTTTGGCTTGATAACTTGTTCATTAATAAATTTTCTTGGTTTTGTTTTACACTCGTGAAAATATTATAAATTTATTTTATATCATCAAACACAATATAAATAGATTGATTATAAAGAGCATTATAAATAAATACTCATATTTTTGTATAACTTATATCCAATATATTATTTATTAAAAGTTTATTTACAATTTTATTATTAAGTTTAATTAATGTCTTAGCCTCTCTAGAATGAGTTTTTGGCTATAACTTACTTGAGATTAAAATTTTTTGTATTATACATCAATGTTTTAAAACCCAACCCGAGGTGAAACCCGGCAAGTTTCGGGTCCCGGGTTGACTGGTTGACAAAAAATTTTAAAACTCAACAAATACACCCCTAAAAATCACCTGCAAGTCCCTACATGTTTAAACTTTATCAAACACACCCCAAATGAAAATCGACTGGCGACTGATCGGCAGCGACGACACCCCAGATGCAACCCCAATCATCCCCTGAGCCCATTTCCATTAAAATCTACCCAAGATCTGGTCGAAATAGGTTCTATTTTGGTCAGATCTCACAGACATCAGCGTGGGTATTCCACGCCAGATCTTATCCACGCCGGGGTCGACAAACCTCCCCATCACCCAAGAATTACTCCCCTGTTCCTCCCGACCAAAACCCACCTCACCCCACCCCCGTTAGCCTCGCCAATCATCGGAAAAATCCCATTGTTGCCGCTGCTAGGTTTGTTTAATTTCCGGTCAATTTACTCACTGGAAATCAATGCCGTCACCACCATTGTATTCACCGAAACTTAGTCTTCAAAAGCCCTAACCTTCCGGCTGTCGATTATTTGCCGATCATCCTCCCAAATCTTAGGGTTTTGGGGTGAATCGAAAAAGTTAAACTCGGTCTGTTGAAGCTACCGGGTCCCGGTTAAACTAGTTCAACCGGTCAGGCCGGGCAGGTTTTAAAACAATGTTATACATAGTTATTATTATATATACACTTTTTAATGAAGTTTTTTTTTTTCAATTAATTTTAAATGTAGATGACATCATGACAAGCACTAAAAAAATATTAGAAAATTATGATCATGTAATTTATTTCTTTGAACTTTTAATCTTTTGTAAAACCCTTTAAAGCGCCAACGTTGAAGACACAAAAGAGAACCCTCAGAAAACCCTCGGTTCCTCACTATTAAGGTCTGTTTGGAGGGCGATGAAGTGAAAGAAAAGAAGCTCAATGACAGAAAATCCAAAGCATTCTCTTGACACCACTCCTGAATCTTCTCAAAGGGCTCTAAAGATCCCAAAAACCGTGGAAGATCAGACCAACAACAACAACACAGAACAAAACCCAGAAGAAGAAAAAGAAGAAGTAGAAGAAACAAAAATTGCAAAAGCCATGAACCAAAGCGGTAAACTTCAACGCTACTTGGTGGCTATTGAATATTTGGGGACCCGGTTCTCTGGGTCCCAGAAGCAGCTCAATCGCCGTACGGTGGTTGACGTTCTTGAGGTAGTTTATTAGACCTCTCTGTTTGGTTGCTAAGAAATGAAAAAATTTTGAACTTTTTTGTTTAGGTTAAATCAATTGGGTCAGTTAAGTGAAAAATGAAAAAAAAAAAAAAATTGAATTGTTTTGTTGTATTGAATTAGAGGGAGTTGCTACAGCATGCAAAATCTAATACCAGGCCGGTAATGTTACTGGCCTAGTTCATCCCTTTTGGTATAATTTTTTCCCATAATGATTTTCTTTTGGGATGATAGTATGTGCCAATTTGGTAATATTACCGGCCCAATATTTTGGTTATAAGTAACAGTTTTGGTTTCGTGTACGGTAGAATATAAAATAGTTATATATATTGACAATTGATGTGGTAATAAGTATTGCTATATGTAACCAAAATATCTGTAGTTGTAGCCTAAACATCAATCCAGTAACTTTGCCGGAACTAGTATGGTATAAATCCCTTCTTTTAGGGGTCTGATGCAGTATCTTGCTTGGTAAATGTTACTGTACTGATATTTTAGTTACATGGAACGAGAAATTAGTTGCTTGAAAATCTGTTGAAGTTATTATAAATGATTTTTTATTTACTAATATATGTAACCATTTTTTATTCTATAGGTATTACATTGAACCTAAACATTGTTACCTGTAACTAAAATATTGATGTGGTAATTGTATTGGGTGGGTTGGTATTATCGTTTCTTTTGTGAATGATTTGACTTATAACCTTACCTAATATTTCAAAGCAAGATCAATCTGAAACTGGTATGATGTTTTATCCTACAATTGTTATAAGGCTTATGTTGCATTTTAAAGATAAAAGCAATGTTCCAGGAATATTACCAGCCAGGATATTGCATACTGAATTACTATGCTACTGGGAGTAGAATCTCAGGATTTGCATTTGGGTTCTGTGTCATTCCTTGGAGAAGGTGAAGTACACCATAGAGTGCTCATAACATATGCATCTATAGTGTTTTTTTGGTTTTGTTTTTCTTTTAAAGATTTGATTATAATAGATTTAGTTTTGTCTGATTAGGAGGCATTTCATAAATTTATTGGGCAGCCAGTTTCAGTTTCTATCTCCAGTCGAACTGTAAGTATAGAGCTTGCTTTAAAGCTATTATTTTGATGCTTTATTTGATTGGGTTTATGATATAATGGTATGCTTTTGGTTCAGTAGATTTTGAGATATACGAGTGTTTGAGCAAGATTAGTGATACTTATCATAAATTTGAATGCGATTTGCAATGTAAACATTTTGTATGCAATTGATTGCGCATATGACACAATTTCTTAATTCAATGACAACTTTCCTCTTCACATTGGTGGTATATGATTATATCTCATATATAATCAAGTCCAATTGGTTGATGAAGAATATCTTAAATTCATATTAGCTGCTCATTTCTCACTTGTTCGTCTCACTTTTTCTTCCTTATTTTCATCTTATCTTACTTTATCATTAATCAAGTCTAACATGGTTTTTTTGAAGAATATTCAAATTCAAGAACTTATCCTCCCCATCACCCAAACCCCCCCCCGGCGAAGTTGATTCATCGTTTCTCTCATTTTCTGTTCTTCTAAGGTTTCATAATTGATGCATTACTTTCACTTAATTAGTGATTGGTGATTGTAGAAAAGTTCAAAAGGCTAAATGGAAATGCATGCATGTATGCAAGACTTTGAGGACGTTAGAGAGTTGCAACCTATAAAAGTAAAAGGAAGAAGTGCCTTAAAAGCTTAAAAGTAGATTGCCAGACTTTTAACTGTTGGATGGTACCAATGAGAAAACTGCTTGTAATTTGTAATGCCCTTAAACCATAAATTCAACTAATTTGAACTTGTTATCGAACTTGTGTACCCTGGAAAGTCTCTGCGACTTTTCTCGTCACACAAAACTAATTGCTACATGATATTGAGCATGTTTTTTAGGCAAGAAGACTAACAATATTTTATTTCTTTTTAGAGATAAATAGCATGTAGCAGAAACACCATTTGCACATGGCACAAAAATGCTATAGACAAATATCACCCTAAATCTTTGAGACATGCATGAAAACAATTTTTTGATTCTTGTTCCTATAGGATACAGGGGTACATGCCTTATCAAATGTTTGCCATGTAGATGTGGAACGCATTAGCAAAAGGAAGCCTGGTGAAGTGGTATGTTGCCTATGAATTACTATTCTTTTCCTTCTTTGATGTTTACATTTTTAACTTGTGCTGCTCAATTTACTATTTTTTTAGTCTTACCAAAAAGTTATTGTATATATATCACATTTTTTACACAAATTATTTAGGCAATTAGTTTTTAGCACTTTTGATGGTTGAGATTCAATACAACTTGCACATTTGATGTACTTTGAAAGGTACATAATTCAAATACAATCTCAGTGATTAAATGCTTTAATCTAACGACTTTAATAATTTGTTTGTCAATATCAAATGCGTATTACTTGTGAAAAATGTACTTGGATTGTATTCTTTCTGAAAGACCAGTGAATAAATTTTCTATTTTACAAATAATATGGTTTTGGTAAATCCATTAAAATAGACAATTGTGTCTCTATGAAGCAGTTTAAATGACAAAAATGGTTTCCTCTTCTACTTTACCTTCAAATGAGATGTAATTTGATTGTTATTTGAAGGAATATGGTAAATTGTAGGAGACTATGTTAGGGTTTTGGTTAGAGAGAGAAGAAAGGTGGAGAATTTAGTGTGTGCTGGACTATCACAATCTTACTATTGCCTTTTTATATGTTATTTATTTCATACTAATGGAAATGAACCTGTTTTGGACATTTCAGCCAATGAAGACTCACAGTGAAATGATATAAAAGATTTGTACCTTGTTCAATACAAATCACTGTGAATATTACTATTTACTAATGAAGTCTGTAACAAAAGAAAATAAGAATTAAGTTGACTAAACTCTTAAGCAAATACCTAAACATCCTATGTCTGTAAAAATACTGATTTACCTACTGATTGCAAAATAATCTTAAACTGTCATTGTTCCTCTCTGCTTTTTATATGGTTCTCAAATCATTATTTTCATCTCCTTTAAAATGCAGTTACCACCTCATGAACCTACTGTGGTTAAAAAAGCTCTGAACCATTTCTTACAGGTGTGTATTCTTATGATCCTAGAAGTTTTAGATTAAGGATAAAATTGTGGCTGGTTCCCTATCTATTGTCAGTTCATAATACCACCTAGATCTGACAAATTTTTGGTTTTTTTTTCTATTGTAAGCGTGAAGGTGATATTATGGTGACTGATGTTCGATGTATTCCACCTGACTTTCATGCAAGATTTAAAGCTCAAGAGCGAATGTAAGTATTCCTGAATTAAAGTTATTTTTGTGTTTCTTTTCTGAAAAGTTGTTTGTAGAAATTACATCCTCATATTGATTTATATATATGTTTATCTCTGATATAATGATATGAATCGGAGGCTAGATTAAAAAGAGTGATCTATAACAGAGGATTTTGACACTATTGGGGTGGTTTTGGCTGCTTCCTCCTTTTTGTTGTATTTCCTTTTTTGGTTACCACCATTGTCTCAAAATGAGATTTTAGATATATGTTGCCAAATAGCCACCTTCCTTAACTGCTGATCTATGTTTTGACATGATTATATAAATAATGTTAGAGAGTACATTTCTTAAATTTGTGGTGAAAATTGCTTTAGGTACTTTTATCGGTTATTGTCTGGGCCAGAGCCTTTGTCTATTTTTGAGAAAGACCGGGCATGGCATGTGCCTGAGGAGCTAGATCTTCATGCTATGCAGGTTTGTTGACCATTATGCGTACAGAAATTTATTTAATCTTCGGTTTACCTGAAAACACAATTTGGTTAATTTAGAATAATGCAGGAAGCATGCAAAGTTCTTCTTGGGTGTCATGATTTCAGTTCCTTTAGGGCATCTGGCTGCCAGGTTGTTTCTCAACCCTTATTAGGTAGCTTTAAATTTATTCTTTTGTATCTGTTTGGTGTTCATTTGATACCAATTCTATAGACACTTGGTTGTTTATTTTTCTCATCTCGTAGCCAGCTAGACCATACTAGCAAACCTGAAAATCACTTTTACCTCTGACTTGTAAAATCTTGCGAGGATTAAACCATCATAAGTTCAACCTAAGCAACATGAAAATGAGACTAAAATAGAACATTTTATTTATCTTTTTTTGACTCAGATGAGTTTCATTTTGAGTGTGAGACCTGCTTATTGAAAGTGTACTTCCAGTAACAAGTGTGCTACTCACAATATTGGTACCTCAGAAATTTGAGCCAACCAATATATAACTTGATTACATGTACTCTTAGCTTAGTGTGAAGAGTTTGGACTTGAGACTACTTTCTTCTTTCAGTCGGTGGGAGCAATGACTATTGTATTATCCACTTCCAGAGCTGGACAATTGAATTTTTCAAAGATGACGAACAAAATGAAACGCCTTTTTTTTTTTTTTTCAGCGGACTTGAAATGCAGCTTTATATGTACCATGAGTAATGTGGCTAAACTCTGCCATCTCTTTTGTTTTCTTTGCTTCCAATTTCCCTTATTTATTTTGAACACTGGTGCTTGCAACAATACTTGAACATATGGTTTCTTGAGCTAACAGGATATGTAAAGCCTTTACTTGATTATTTGTAGGCGAACTCGCCAATCAGAACAATAGACGAGCTTCATATTAACGAGGTGATTTCAACTCCATATTTTCCTTCCAATATGGAGAGGGAACAAAACAATATGAAAAGGGAAGATTCCTGTGCAAGTGACTCCATCAGTTCTGCAACTTTCCTTCCTGTTAGTTCTATTTCCAACAGCGATATATTAGGGACATCCAATGGTGGAAGTAATTTGGAATTTGGCATAAGGAGAAGGCATCATAACTATTTGGTTAAAGTGCGTGCCCGCTCTTTTCTCTACCACCAGGTTGGGATTACACTTTTCCATGCCTACTTTTGCCAGCTTATTTGATTTTATCTTATTTTTTATCACTATTATAATCACGTAGTTTACATGATTACATTTTCCTGTGTTCCATTAGTATCATGACATTATAGCAAAATTTTCCCTGGTCACTAGTTGAACAGTTCCAAACTCCAAGTTTTTGTCTCTTTTCTACAGGTTAGGCTGATGGTTGGGATACTAAAATCCGTTGGAACTGGAGATCTTTCTGTTTCTGATGGTGAGGCTACCTCTTTATTATCTTGTATATTTATGTTGATCAAGAAAAAAATCGTATATCATAGTCTCATTTTGAACTAACTTTTTTTTCTTATTCTATGAAAAACTGTATCAGTTGAAAGAATCCTAAATGCGAGGACGGTGACTGCTGCAAGTGCCATGGCCCCTGCATGTGGTCTCTACCTTGGACATGTGAAGTACGATCTTCCACAAGAAAACTAAAGAAATTATAAGTTCAAAGACATTTCAGATTTCATTCACTGGTATAAGTCTGCCGTTCAAAGCGATTATTTATCATGTGCTCATCAGATAATGCAATTCTGGCACAGGTCTTCAGCGCAAAAATACATTGACCCTTCGGTTGCATTGAGCCTTTCAGGTTTTCTCCCTGGGGATGGAATTAAAGAGCAAAAATTACATCATATCAAATTTTTGACAGTTTTGTAACTATTTCAGGCATATGCTGTTTTTCTTAATGACTCTAGCCTCGAGTGTTTTTACTCAGTCCCTTGGGTTTATGATCAGTAATTGCAGTTTTCTTTTGAGAAAATGCCTTGTCTATAACTTCAAGAATCAATTGATACTCCATTTTTCATCATAGATTAATGGTAAGACCGTAAGAGATGTATGATGATATTTCTTGACCATAAAATCTCTAGAATTTAATCAAAATTACAAGGTCTTTGACATAATTATCATCAAAGGATGTATTCTGAATAAAGGATCGCAAACTCGCCTAATCTTTCTAAACTGAATTTAATCCCAGAATCTTTATACAATTACAGAAGATCTCACAAATTAAACTAACCAGTACCCTCAGATATACTAGATACTACTCATAATTATAAGGAGATTAAGTGTAAAGTACAATCAAATTGATACAAATAAATGAAGCTGACCAAAGTGGAGCTTTGTGCAAATCGTTGAAAAAGATCAATTTCAGTTGTTTGGCCATGGCTTCAAAGAACTTGTTCGGAGAAGAAATGATTTCGAAGAGAGGCGTAAGATGCATCACCCATGTTGCTGATATATTGTTACCAGAGTTCAGAAGCTCAAGACGCAGTTAGCATTCTGCAAGAGAGCATAGTAAAGAGCTCAAAAGCTCAAGACGCAGCTAGCATTTTGCAAGAGAGCATAGTAAAATGTTACAGTGGCCGCTTGAGTCGCATAGAGCCGACATTTTCAACCCGAAGGTCTGTGGTGGAAGTGGAACTTCAGATTTGTTGAATCACCTCCAAAGCCAATAATCACTATCTGTTTAATTTGCAGTACAAATATTACTTGCTACCAGAACACTGCACTCATATACTGGCATTGAAACCATATAATAGAACTTTGAATAAGAAGTTGTACTGTGGTACATGTTTGACAATAATAAACCCGACAAAATTGCGAGAACAGTCACATTTGCCTAATCTTATAAAAAGTGCTTACAAACAATTAAAGGACTTACTTCATTAAAGACTCGATAGCTGCATGAATGGAATTATTATGAGTAGAATCCTGACGCTGAACCAGGGAGTGAGGTCCATTCCAAACTGATTTTTGACTGTTGGGGAAGAGAATTCCACATAAATTCAAAAGCATGGGACTTTCGAATTGGAAGTTACTGTACAGCTTAGCTTTTCCTTCTCGTTCTTGTGACTTCTATAATTTAATCAAACCAAGAAGTCAGATAACATTCATGTCATCAAATTAACCGAAATGGCATAGTATAATACACAATAAAAACTAAAAGGAAAATAAAGCACCTTCAAGCATAATATGTCAATGTTTATATGCCTTTTCTATCAGCTGGTGTCATGTGATAGACCGTAGAGGACAACAATTGTTTTAAGTTCTAAAATTTATGGGGTATCTATACCAATAATGACAATTTATATAACATATATTATAATGACAAACGGCAGGGGGACCAGCCAGTGCAGCTCTCCAATTGAAGCCATAATTCATTTTTCATATCAAGAGCATGTTTACTATGATAAAACAAGAGACTGCAATGAACCCCAGGCATGCTGAGTACCAAAAATTGGCAGGCCTCCATTACTTTAATCCTCTTTGCCTCTTTGTACTAAGCCAACAAATATTAAAATGGTATCAAAATAGGTCTTTCATCACTGTTCGTTTATTTGAGTAAAAGATTGTATCTGCAATGCCATTCATAAAAAAAAACTTATGTACCTTATCTGTTTTCTGCTTAACTGCCACAGGTTCCTCCTCATGCCCCCGGGAATGAGTTTGGACTCCTGTTCCAAGCTTCTCTGCTCTTCCTGGTTCAGATTGTCTGATAGACTCTCTTGAGACTTCACCCTCACCTTTCTTCTGAATCTCCGTCTCATTCGCTTCTTCGTCTTCGTCTTCTTCTTCTCCATCCTCTTCTTCTTCATCCTCCTCGTCCTCTTCCTCTTCCTCCTCATCTGCCTCATGCTTCCCATCTATATGGCTATACTGAGGTTTTGTACTCTCCATTTTCATCTCCTCTCTTTTCCCTTCAACCTCAGTATCTGCATCAGGGTCCTGTGATTCACCTGAATCTGATGATGAATCCTCACCACCAGGACTTTCTACAGGAGAAGATAAAAAAAAAAAAAAAATTCATTTAGAACATGTTCAATTACTTGTTTCTCTATACAATGGAAGAAAGGAGGATCAGAAAAGCAAAAAACAGAGTGCGTTATCTTTGACAATTTTGAGCTTTCAAATATATAAATTATGATCTATTGTTGATTCTAGGCAGCCTTTTCTTATGTATCAATTATAAAGCAAATTAGTAGCCCATTAGTTGTTAACACAATGGTATTTACATAAGAATACTTGGTTCTATTTTTAAGAACAAAAAATTTACCATGAAAGGGACAAAGAAGTATCATTGCACTTGGCAGGGACCAAAATAATAATAATAGAAAACAGACAGGCAAAACATATCCTCAACAACCTTGGGGTCAGCAAATTTACTTCATGATCAATGATCCAATGAAAAATCTCGCCGCTAAATATGGCTGCCTTCATAACATATGTCTTTTCCAAAGAAAGAAAATTGCCATGAGAAGCAATGACTTCAACACCCCAGTAAATGGACAAACATAGTCAAATTCGGTCAACTTATCACATAATTCTTTTCTCCTATATGGCCGCACCCAATATCAAACTCACAGGCTTGCAAATTTATTGAAATGTATCACACAAACAAAAAAAAAAAAAAAAAAAAAAAAAAGACAATACACATTTACCACACATTGGACTTGCAAGAATGTAAGGTAAAAATTTCAGTTATTTATCAATAGAAGGCATATGGAATCTTTACTTAAAATAATAATAATAATTGTATCTATTGCATTACCTCTTGAACATCAACAACTCCAATTTGACGGTTAGCAATTCGAGCACTCTCCTCACGCTCCCTTTTGCGGCGCTTTAGAACACATATAGCACATAAACAATCATGTTTATGACGCCTTCTGCAAATAAATAAAAAGTTTACTGATAAGAAAAAATGCTTGAATTATAAAGAATAAGGAACTATCAAGATGAAATGACTGCAAGAAAAGTACAAGAAAGGAAAAACTTATGTCCTGTATCTAAGGTAATTAAACTCCCTCTATAATTCCATACGTTTATCATCTATAAAGTGTCTCATCATAGAAGTTTAATGTGAAGCCAGATCTTAAACAAATATAATAAATATGAAGTTCCTCAGACCAGATCACAATAAGACCACATCCAAACTCAAAATTGAGGTCTGGAATTCACCATAATATATACTGAGTAGCAAGCAAAACAATGAAATGAAAGAAAAGAAAGAAATATCAGAAATCAAAAGTCAAACAAACGAATTGACCAACTCACCAAAGTTAGCTTTAGTGAAGCTCAAACATCAGAACTTGATAAATAACATAAATTTGATTACCATTACAAATTCAACATAAGACACTCCACTGACATCACAATAACAACAGAAAGAAACAAATTACGCTCCCCACACTGGGAAAGAAAAGGGTATCTGCCCAAACATACCCATGACGTTTTCCTGACTTCTGCTTTGGTTGGCTACCTTTAACTTGTACTTTAGCTTGACTGGACTGGGCAACATCTTCAACTTGAATAATTTCAACACCTAACAAGAGAAAACAAATAACGCTAAGGCCGCTGCTAGAATATGGAGCCCATCAGTTTTAACCAATATAAACACATATGCACATATATACATAAATGCATTTTATTAGGAAACCGCACTACATACATGTGTATACTTGCACAACAACACTCAATTAGCCTCTGAAATTAAGCAAAACAACAATAAAATGTGTAAACATAATTTAGCGTAGTGAAAATCAAATTACAGTAACTAGTAAAGTGTACAAACATGAAACTCTCACCATTATTTCCCTTTGGTTGCTCACTGTATAACCCAGCTGCTGTCCAGTACTTCATAAAATTTTTCTTCACCCGCTTCATAAGGTCCAATATATAGTCACCTTTGTTGTTATACTTGTTACAGTTCTCCCAGATGTACTGTACATCCTTGTAGACATCTTCTGAATTCATATACTTATCACCACTTTCAAGACTCGTGCATATTGTTCCAAAATCCATTGGTGTATCTATAACATCAAAATAATCCTGGTTCCAAACAGTATTGCAGTCTAAATTAAGAGTAGGAAAATCTTATTCATTAGAATGAAAATTTACGTATATTAAAACACACAGATGTTGTATTGTCATGGTATAGAAGGGGAGAAAACAAGGAGAAAGAAGTAAAAATAAAACTCAATCCTTCACAGCAGGCATATATAAGAGAGAACTTAGAGCGTAAGGCACAACACACTAACCAATAAATAACAAAAACCTTAAGTAATCCAGTACTTTTAGCTTATAAATTCAAACAACATAGAGTAACATATGAGCCTTGTGATATTCAATATTTAAACTCCGCAGAATATTATTAAAACTTATCCAACATGAAGAAATGAGTTGAGATCCCCATGGATTGAAGTTTATAATTAAGAAACAATTGCTAAAGAAAAGCATTGATTCTTGCACATAAATATACCTTAACTCTTAAGGTATTTATCCACACAACTTAAAAGACAACAACATTAAAACCAGGAAAATTACATGAACTTCAACTCTCTAGGCAATTCTCTAGACATGAAAATTCTCTAATTAAAGCATAACAAGAACAGAAGGGCAGAGATTCCAAAAGCATTCCACATAGAAACACTTACAGGTATTCCCAAAGCTTCAGGATTCACAGGGGCATTAAAGGGCTCAGCTGCATCCATTTTCATTACCTTCTTAATTACCTGTGGAGGAATAAACAAAGACAAAAGTCAGTAAAAGTAAATCTTTTATTTAGAAATCTGCAGCTTAAAACACAGACACAAAATGGTACAGTCAAGCATATTCAGCAGAGATCCATTCCAATTTTCTTAACATACCATCAACGCAGCATCTAGTTCTTCTCTGTCATATTGAGGATCCATACGAGGTCTCTTATGTTGTTTTTGATAAGAATTCTCAACTTGTGTCGCAACACTGTTGCCAGTGTTGCCAACACTTGTACCACCCAAAGCCTTTGATGACTTAATCTTAATGCTCCCAGCTTTCTTCATTGTATTCCCCAGAAGACCCATTTTCAGTTCAGCCAATGACATGGCACTATCCTCCATTCTGTCAACAATGCCACATTGTCTCTCCAAACCCATTTGCGAGCTACTCTTATCAGTATCACTATGAGAAGAATCCAACATTTTTGGAGTCTTCAACTTCACTTTCACACGTCCAACCGGCTTCCCTAAAGTCTTATCAACTGACCCATCAGGGTTTATATTTGCAACATTCAGGGGCTGATCAGTCCCAGTCGAAGAAGGTGTATTAATCTCCATTGGTGACTCATATTCATCATTTCCATACTCATCCACCTTATCAGAATTATGTTCTGTGTTATTGAGACTAACAGCATTTGATATTGCCTCCTTTTTAGCTGTGGCAGATGCCCCTTTAAATTTTCCTTTTTTGTGCCCCCGCTTTCGCTTCATGTTTAAAGTTCCACGAATTAGTTTATCCTCGCCCCTCGGATACTGCAAGCAATGACAAGTTGAAACACAAACTAAATAAATCTATAAGAAACTCACTACAAAACCATTAATTTGTATTCATGCGCCATCAACAAGCTAACCCTTTTAGTGAACACATAAAAATCAAGATACAAATTTTCCATAATAATTAACAATATTTTCTAGTAAACTTTCTTGTTTATCGGACATTTTCCATTGAACTCTCTGAAGTTTAACTTTCACAAGCAATTTCTGCCTATTGAAAAATACACACACAACCCAAAAAAATTAAAAAAAACCCTTGAGATTCAAGCTTCATTTGAATTGTACTAAACACAACTTACGTATAAATGTAACACTAAAAACCTACTCTTTTTTCTCCAAAACAACTAAAAACCCTAATTTCGTAAATCTAAATTCCCCATAAACAAACAAGTCCCAAATCTTGAAAACCCAGAAAACGATTAGCTTCAAAAAAACCCTAAAATCATTCACAAAAACAAACCAAAATAAAGTTTCAATCTTTTCGAAATCAAGCGCAACCGCAGCGTTTAACTTCGAAAAAACTAAACAAATTAAGCTAAAAAAATCATAAATACAAGAAATTAGATTAAATTAAATAATATTAAGACAAAGATATAATGTTGGGCTTTTACCTCGTTAATGAATCCGAAGAGACAAAGTTAGCGAAGTTAGTGAGATTTATTTGTTTTTTTTTTTTTTTGTTTTTATAGGTTTCGGGGAGTACGATGAAAGATGAAAACAATATTAATAAAAATTATTATAAGAAATTTTTGAATATTCGAAGCTTCTTATAAATTATATCAGGCTTCATTGGAGTAACGACATCGTTTTTGTTTAAGTATTGGAATCAGAATCTTACTGCTTTTATTTCAATATTATATCCCTATCCCATTATACTATTATATCATAATTCTATTATTATATCTTAAAAACTCAAAAATATATTTATTTTAATATTCTAAAAATTTTATTCTACTTTATTCATCTCATAAAATATTAATAATTACATTTCTTGTAAAAATAACTTAATTTTTTTAAATAATATTCTAAAAATCATCAAATAATGAACCAAATGAATTGAATACATTGTTTTATTTAATGTGAATGTAATATTTGGAATGAATAATGATAAGTTGATAAAAATTTCTTATAACTTTTTCTCACAAACGTTAACGTGATAACTTTCAATTAGTAAGTTCGCATTTGATTTGACAGGACCTATTTTGAGCAAACGAGACAAATTACGAACTGACCAATTATGAGTTGACATATCGTATTTGTGAGAAAAAATTAATAAAAAATGTTTGTGAATATAATATTATTGATTTGGGTTTTTGTCCATATACATGAAAATAAATGGTCTAAGGTCATTCTTTTATCATTGTTAGTTCTTTTCATTCAAATTCATTTATTTAATATTTTATGATTATTGATTACTTTTTTAATTTCAATCCATCTCATCCACCACAATAAATTCAATATCACTACGTCATAAATCCTGTCAATCATAGGATAAATTTTATTAGTCTAAGAGATAGATAACTCTCAAATGCCGTAACGAATTTCAAAAGCATTAGATACCTCTATAAAATTATAAAAACCCCTTAAAATATTGTCATAAAACCTTATATAAAATATTAATAAGCTTTCTACAAATAGGATTAAATCCATTAGTACCCCTGACATTTAAAAAATTAATCTTAGGTCCAGAGTTTTGCCATAGTGTGCAAACACTTACTCTACTGTTAGTTTTTGAGCCGGTCAAGAGAAAACCGACTAATACAATAGCATCTCATGTTTATTGCCTGTATTACTTCTCATTATAAATTTATTGAGCAATACTACTCTTACAAAGACAAAAACAAAGAGACCATACAAAGACAATTTCCACCCTTCATCTTCATGATTTCTCTCTCTCTCTCTCCCTCTTTTTCCGTTTTTTCTTTGTTTTTTCCTTCCTGGTGATGTCACTTTGTAGCTCTCTTTGTATTGTCTTTGTAAGGATAGCATTTTTCAAATTTATTTGACAGCCTTTTAAGAGGCTGCCTGAAGATCATCTCCCCCCATCCCTTTGTAAGGCGCTCGCATAGTACTCATTTGATATGAGATAGCTGCTTACCATCATCCATATTTTTCTCCCAAACAAGTATGCATTATGAGGCTTGATGTCTCAAAACGAGGTCTGTTTCTGTAGATACTCAATTTGCCATGGGTAGCACTTGATAAGTCTCTTCTAATCACTTTAACGTTGAATAATTCGTTATATCCTCTGAAATTTTTGTTGAAGATGCCTCTCTTCTAAGGCTGTCATGTCCATAATATGTTTGACTATTCTCTTGAGATTAAGTCAATACAGAAAATCTTTTTTGAGAAAAATCAGACGATTCCAGATGAGATATGATCATCTTTTCGCGATGATGCCTCATGAGAACTCTTTCCTCCAGCCTACATTGAGAAATTGCCTCAGTCCAAATAAAAATTGATAGGCTATTCGCAAGTGTACAAAATCGGACAAGTAATAAAGCTCGAGTAAACGAGTGTCGAATCCCAAGAGAATTACCTATAAAGTACCAAACTAGTCTATTTTGTTGCTATTTGATGAAATAGAATTTTAAGAATGAGTTTAATAAAAAAGAAAAAAAACTAAACAAAAGCAAAATTTTATTAATACTATGGTAAACAAATCAATATGACTAAACCTATGGCACATATTTCACACCAATTTAATCTTATGCGTTGACAATTATTGCTAACCTAATAAAGCTTATTCTAAAGGTCAAATTCCCTGATATTCCACTAACTTTCTCTCGAACAATTAGCGAATTAACCCTTAAGCAACAACCCAAAACATCTCTAAGTTGGATTTAGAAGCTAAGAGATTATTAAGTTCTATAGAAATTACCAGAGTCTCATAGATCACGGTAATCTATCTCTAGCATTCGCTCAATCTATGGTTTTATCACCTTAGACAAATTAGGTTTCATCTCTCGATCTTAACCCAACCCAACCCATGATATCATTCAACCATCAGATCCTTAAGAATTGAAAGCATTACACACAATAATAAAAACTTAGAATTAATGCTCAATTAGAATTAAAAAAATAAAGTCAACACATATTCACAAATTGGGCGACATCTTTAGCCCTAGAAAAGGGATTTAGTTCATAATTGCAGTAATAAAAACAACCATTGTATTCAATAACATGAGTTCAAGAAAGAAGAATAGAAAAACTTCTCTAATTGGCGAATGAGAACTGCAAGAAGTCCGATCTCCAAAAATAGTAGCCGTCCTTTCTCCTTCTCTCCTCCACTAAAAACTGATTAAAGACTCTTATTTATAGTGCTAGGGTTCGGAGGTTACTTAGGAAATAATTAAATGCCTTCACCCATTCAGATTCAGACTAGGAGAATATAATAACCTAAACAGGCCCGTGACCCATCGCTGCGGCAATAAGAAACAGTCGCTGCAGCAATCGTTCTTTCTATCCCACGAGTCTATGATCTTCAGAATTTGGTAAAGTCATCAACATAAACTTTGTAGCTCTCTAAATAATCTTTCCAACACCACAAGAATCGTTGAATTCCAATTTCTACAGCTCAAGTTATAATACAAACATTGAAGCATGCTCATCTTGAAGGATTTCAGATTTTACATTGTATCTTCGACGCGTCACAACTTTCTCATTTCAACTCCAATTTTTGCACTGTTTGTTCCTACTTGTCACGAATTCTATCGACATCATTCTTTTTCCTTCAATTATTAGTTTGAACCTGAAAATACTCAAAATACACCTGTGATCCCATAAAAGGTATTTATGAAAGAATTAATTCAAATTTTACAATTTAAACACATTTTTCCATAAAAAATCCAATTAAATAACTAACAAAATATATACTTTCAAGCTCTTATCACAACCCCCAACTAGCTTTTTGTTAGTCTCTAGTAAACTAAACGATAAAATAAATCTCTAAGCTTGAAAATAAAACAACCAATGAAAACCTATATCTAAACTATCATAAATCACTTTCTTAGATTGACACGATTACATTTAGCGTATGTAACAAGCTTTTAAACCCCTAAGCAGCCCTAGTTGGACGAGTTGTAGTCTCGTGAGGGTTTCGAACGATGATACCCACAAACATCCATACTAAACTTAACCTAAACTCCAAAAATAAAAATAAACATAAAAAGAGCAAAAACTAACAAAAATTCTTGGATCAATTCATAAAGGTGTCTCAAAAATAGCATATACACAAAACAAATAGAATAATTAAAAATCACCTAAACTCACAGACAATGCAAACGTCAATTCCATTTTCGTTATCAACCCAAAAACATCCATACAACCACAAACCATTAATCTACGAACCCAAATGGTTTTATGCATAACATTCATGAACAAGATTTTTATCTTAGTATTCGAGTTATGACTTATATGTGAATCATGGAATCAAACTCCATAGGCTCACTTTTCAAACCACTCTCTACCAATGTAGAATTTCACATTACCTTGGATCAATAGGTCTTTGTAAAGGTTGTAACGTTAGGCTAAGGTATGAGTTCATGAAGAAACGAAAAGGGAAATTAACAAAAATCAAATTAAGAGACTTAATTTTCATTCATTCTTATTACTATCATACAAAAACACTCCCCTTTTTCACTTAGTAGTTTCCCAACCTTTATTGAGCTCTTTCTTTTCGACAGTAATATAAACTCATTTGCATAATTCCAAATCTTCACAATGCTTTTCAATGCCCACTTTTCTTTTCTTTCTCTTTTTTTTTTCTTTTTTTTTTTCCTCTTTTTTTTTCCTCTTTTTTTTTCTTCATTTTTTTTTTCAACAATAATAAGAAGAAAGTAGAAAACGCACACACAACTCCACTGATCTTACAAGCACTCCACAACCCCCAACCAATTTCTTCGCATAAACCTGGGTTGTGGCAAAATTATACTTCCTCACCAATACTCGTACTAAGCTTGAATAACAATTAAGTCTCTTAAGGATAAAATGGGTAAGATTGTGTTTTAGGCTCATAATCAGGGTAGGAGGTAAAAATTGAGTTCAAATAAAGAAAAACAATAGTGTTTAAAAGCTCAAAGGGTTAACTAGCGATGATAATAAGAAAAGGTCGGCTTGAAAGGCTCAATCGGTCTAAAAATAGCCTAAATCATTTCCTAAGTGATGTGAACTCTAGGATTTCACCTCGAGTGGTTGTCAAATGAGTTCTAGAGTTTGTTTAGATTGCAAAAATGTTCATAGAAAATTCACACATAAAACGTCTCTAAGTAGGTAAACTTAACCACTTTCAATCAACAAATCACCAGGGTCTCAAATTAAATGTCATTTAACATTTACAATCATCCGTAATTAAAGGCAAAAATTAATGTCTCCCATTTGTTACATGTTATTGCAATCACATTCCTATCATAGACATATAAATTAATCCAAGAATAAAACCAAAATTCAAAACATAACACAAAAATAAAAAAAATAAAAAAAATTCTTATAAATCCATAAATTCAAAGTCTTTGGGAAGAAACTTCCCTTACCCCCTACCTAAAATCTACATTGTCCCCAATGTACAAATATAAACGAAAGGAAAAAAAAGAAAAAGAAAAGTTACCCCTTTTTGCAATAGTGAAGTGCGAATATGCATGACAATTCGATCACCAACTCGTTTCATTCCATTGTTGTCTTTTAATTTTGTCAAAACAAAGAAACTTGCAGTACACCTCATCAGA